GCATGCAATAGGTCTACTATTTTTGGTGTATGGAATGATTGTAAGGTGTACATGTCTAGCTGGCAGGTGTCATCTGACCTTGACCACTTTTTCATGGTTTAGTGGTCAAAGTTAAGTTTTTGAGTTTTGGTCTTTTTTTCTAATACTATATGCAATAGTTCAACTATATTTGGTGTATGGAAATATTTTATGATCTATATGTCAGTCACACAGGTTTATTTGACCTTGACCTCATTTTCAAGGTTCATTGCTCAGTGTTAAGTTTTTGTGTTTTGGTCTGTTTTTCTTAAACTATAAGCAATAGGTCAACTATATTTGTTGTATGGAAGAATTGTTAGCTGTACATGCCTGCATAGCATGGTTCATCTGACCTTGACCTCATTTTCATGGTTCATTGGTCAATATTTAGTTTACTTGGTTAATGTTAAATTTATGTGACAGTTGTAATAAAGCTTTATATTTAGGACTATCAACATAATATCAATGATTAGTAAAGAAGGCGAGACATTTCAGCGTGTGCACTCTTATTTATGGATGTGTAGTTAATCATGGGTGCAATTTAGGAACTCCTCATTAGAGAATCATAGATTGCTTGGAGGTCGGTTCAAACCCATTTTTCTATAATTCAGTATTGATTCAAAATGAAATTTGTGGAAAAAGGATAGATCTACAAAAAAAAAAACACAGAATGAAAACTTATGTCTGTTTCATAAATAAACAATAAACAAAGTTGATTTCCGTCCTCTAACTTTAGTTTGCCTCAACCAAATGTTATGAAACTTATACACAATGCTTATTATCACAAAACACAGATCAAGTTTGAATTTTGTTGGCGTCATTTTAACCGTTTTAGAGTTATGCCCCTTTACAAATGGAAAAATTGCTGAATTTTTCGTTTCCGTTCTCTAAGTAACTTTAGTTTGCCTCAACCAAATGCTATGAAACTTATACACAATGCTTATTACCACAAAATACAGATCAAGTTTGAATTTTGGTGGTGTCACTTTAACCGTTTTAGAGTTATTAGAATAAAGAAGTAACCTTGATGAATATAGGGAAGGAGTGTAGTAAATCCAGTTTCTAATGGTTATATGTGCCATTATTTTATCATTAATTCCTGGAAATGGTGTACCCTTTTAACTGTCTACCCTCTATGTTGGTTCAATCATTTTCTAAACATTTAATAATTTTCAGAAATATTTTTACATGTGTATAGAATTCCATAAAAAAACAACTTTCTACCTAAAAACTCTAATTTTCTAGATTTTAATGGCCCTGTCATCTCAGTCATGGTTCAATGACTTTTATTTTTATGTTTGCATAGTTTACATGTAAGTTATCTGATGAGGTCAATTTAATGGTAACCACTTGAAACAGATAACAGATATTTGTTATCCCTTTGAATTAGCATTATCATATATATCATTTTCATGGAGACTATTTGGCTCTGCATTCACCTTCAGTCATGGTTCATTGATTTTGAATGTTTTGCATAGTTTGCATGTAAAAGTATTGTTATTTTAATTTCAACATATGCAGCAGAAGGCAAGACATATATCTGTGTCAACAGTTTATTCCATTAAAAAAAAAAACGAAAAATCGAGTCCTCACTACAGATTTAAATAAATTTCCTATGTATCAAATGTCACATTAAAAAAAAATTCCCCAACATTACACAGATGAACAAAGTTTTTAAATAAATGGAAAGAATCAATAATTTAAGGGTTTTAGAATAAGTGTTGCATTATGATAGACTATCAGTATACTATATGTAGGAATATTTTGAAAAAATTCATATAAGACATCTGGATTATGACATTTCATAGTTGTGTAAATAAATTGTTTCAGTTTGTTTATATTATTCCTTTAGAAAGTAATTTCAGTAGGATTCACAGGTCAATGTCAGGACAAAATTAGATTTTTCAATAATAAAAATGATATTTTGATATCCGTTCTAATCAGGTTAATGTTTCAGGTTAATGTTTGCTTAACATAGTGGAAAGACATGAAGAGTTTAATAATAGTATTGAAAAGGCAAGAACCTTCATGTAAAATTCTTATTATCAGATAACAACCTCATATTTTTAGCATCAACAATTCCAATAGTTTGAGTGCATTGTTGTGCAAGAAATGACCATTGATCTTCTCCAGTTTGAGTGCATTGTTGTGCAAGAAATGACCATTGATCTTCTCCAGTTTGAGTGCATTGTTGTGCAAGAAATGACCATTGATCTTCTCCAGTTTGAGTGCATTGTTGTGCAAGAAATGACCATTGATCTTCTCCAGTTTGAGTGCATTGTCGCGCAAGAAATGACCATTGATCTTCTCCAGTTTGAGTGCATTGTTGTGCAGCACATTACCATTTGTCTTCTCCAGTTTGAGTGCATTGTCGTGCAAGAAATGACCATTGATCTTCTCCAGTTTGAGTGCATTGTCATGCAAGAAATGACCATTGATCTTCTCCAGTTTGAGTGCATTGTCATGCAAGAAATGACCATTGATCTTCTCCAGTTTGAGTGCATTGTTGTGCAAGAAATGACCATTGATCTTATCAAGTTTGAGTGCATTGTCATGCAAGAAATGACCATTGATCTTCTCCAGTTTGAGTGCATTGTTGTGCAACACATTACCATTGATCTTCTCCAGTTATCATGTTTTTCTGCTGATTTGATTTGTCTTGATTATAGTTCATCCACCATTTTGCAATATATTGCCATTGAGTAATATTCTTTGTTTTTTGTTTTTTTTTTTCATTGAATTCCTGTCTCATTGACATCTACCCAAACTTCCATTTAATTATGATTTATAATTTTATATGCTGTTATTTATCAATTGAATAGTGTTTAAACAATAAGCAAGAAAATGAAAATTTGCTTGAAATATTGTTGTGTAATCTGTTCCTGTTGGCAAAGAAAGCAAATGGATGTTTTATCAGATCTTACTAAAATGCGATACAGATTTTCAGTGTGCATGATTGTAGTATTAAACCTTGGTAAAATCGTGACAAAGTATTGGGTTTTCCCTAATCAGATTGGATAATTAAAGTAAAGAGCTTAAGAGTAGAACAATTTCTGAATGATTTATCATCTGTAATGATCACATGTTTCATTGCTTGGGAAATTTTTTTTTCTTCTTCAAGTGTGTTTAAAACTTATTTGTTTTTTATCACTCTTGGATAAATGGCATAATGTATTTTATGGAGTGGAGTGTTGGAGTGAACTTTTTATGCCTGGATAAATGAGGTCATTGATTTCAATGTAGAAAAAAAGTTAGAAGAAACTTAAGTAGGGTATTTATAAAAATAAAAGTAGAAGAAAACTATGGCCAAAAGAAAAAAAGATGAAAAGACAAACAAAAGTCCAAAGAAAACAAAAGTCCAAAGAAAACAAAAAAGTAACTGAAATGCCATCAATCACCTTAGGAGATCTCATGTGCTTCAGAAAAATCAACTTAGGAGATCCCATGTGCTTCAGAAAAATCACCGTAGGAGATCCCATGTGCTTCAGAAAAATCACCTTAGGAGATCTCATGTGCTTCAGAAAGATGAGTAGTTCCTGCTCCATCAGTGATACATATTGCATTGCCTACTTTTAAAATCTGATAAATTTAAATTGGTTAGAGCCCCTCCATACCACAGTGGATTGGTAGATATATGTAATCCTAAGACATCACCAAATAATTCTAAAAACCATCAGCACATGTAAATTCTCAAACTGTAAAACTTAACTGAATGTGAGAGCTTGAAATGAACATTTCTCAGGATAAAGGAAAAACAGCACTATAACCAACGAAACAAAAAAAAGTAGAATATCTGTAAATACATTAAAAAATACTATTATACATAAAAAGCATGAATCCCGCTTAAAACAATGGGGTGAACTCAGGTCCTCTTGAAATTCCAGATGGATGGCATTATGATGAATCATAAAACAAAACTTCAAAGGATAAATACAATGTATTTATACCCCACGCAACGAGTTGCGGAGGGTATAATGTTTTTGACCTGTCCGTCTGTCAGTCCGTCAGTCTGTCAGTCCGTCAGTTCGTCAGTCCGTCAGTCCTGTTTCTTGTCATCGCAACTCCTCTCAAACCACACTACAGAATTTCACGAAACCTTTTCAGATAATAAGGACATACTATGTAGTTGTGCATATCGACAGGAAATTACGATTCAATTCTTTTTCTAGGAGTTACGCCCCTTTGAACTTATTTACTTTAATGTACTACTGCAACAGTTTGTCATCACAACTCCTCTCAAACCACACAACAGAATTTCATGAAACCTTTTCAGATAATAAGGACATACTACGTAGATGTGCATATCGACAGGAAATTACAATTTAATTTTTTTTCCAGGAGTAACGCCCCTTTGAACTTATTTGCCCAATATACTACTGCAACCTTTTGTCATCGCAACTCCTCTCAAACCACACAACAGAATTTCATGAATCCTTTTCAGATAATAAGGACATACTACGTAGATGTGCATATCGACAGGAAATTACGATTCAATTTTTTTTCCAGGAGTTACGCCCCTTTGAACTTATTTGCCCAATATACTACTGCAACCTTTTGTCATCGCAACTCCTCTCAAACCACACAACAGAATTTCATGAAACCTTTTCAGATAATAAGGACATACTACGTAGATGTGCATATCGACAGGAAATTACAATTTAATTTTTTTTCCAGGAGTAACGCCCCTTTGAACTTATTTGCCCAATATACTACTGCAACCTTTTGTCATCGCAACTCCTCTCAAACCACACAACAGAATTTCATGAAACTGTGTAGATAATAAGGACATACTATGTAGATGTGCATATTGACAGGAAATTATGATTCAATTTTTTTTTCTTACACTTATTTTATTTCTCCAATGACATTGTGGGGACGTGGGGGTATGTGAGCGCGCTCACTAAGGTTCTTTAATTTTATTTATATTCCTGATGTTGTTTACTTTTAAAAGGAGATATGTATATGTATATTTTATTTTTTAGCCTTGTGGTGTAGATTATGAATTGAAAACTTATGTAGCAGAGAACCTTGATGAAAAGCCACATAAAAGGTATATAGAAGTGATGGTATTCAAATGCATCTTTTATTTTTAAACTTTCAGTGTATTAAAAGGAGATCTGAATCCTTTTGTGAATGTAAATATATATTGTAATTGTATAATTCATAATGAAATATTGTTTACACTAAAGGGAGATCAACTTCAGTTTCACCATACTAATTCATTCATTGGTGCAACATCATTGACAATTAACACTCATGTTGTATGATGTCACAGGAGTGAAATTATAGGTTTTATTTCACATGTGTAATGTAGTGTGATATCAAAGTATTTCTTTACAACCAATGTAATAGTAAACATTTATTAACTAGCTATGAGGACAATAAACTTACTATTGTTTTCGAATAGCCAGTAAATAAGTATTTTATTATACAGAAAGAAATTTGTATACATTTTGAAACAATATATGGTTATTCTCTTAGTCCTGTTACTTTGAAAACTGTTCCAAATGAAATATTTTGGGTAAGTGCAAGACTGGCAAATCTGTGACCTTCCCTAACATCTGGGACAAGCTTTATCAAGACAGGAAGTCTTTTCTTGTCTTTAGATTTTCAAGTCTTCCTTTCTGTCGATTACCAGATTCTGCTTTATGTATTAGGTCCGAGGACACAGTTATCGTCCTTTGATTTTTGTTGTCTACAAATATAGTCCCTAGTGTGGACAGTGTTTAAGACCCTGTTTGCACATGTATGAAATTGAACCGATCTTAAACAGACCAGTTAGCGTTTACATTTGCACAAGCAAGATCGATCGACATCGATCTTATTTAATCTAGTGCGTTTACACTGCAACATAAAAAGAACTGGTCTGAAATGATTACATTATACATTTCATAAACAAATAATCATAAAAATAGAATTGAATAATAACGAGTGCATTTCACGCGGACTAACACACACTGCAAAATTATGGAGAAAATAGTTGGATCATTGGAATTTTGTATGCAGTTATCAATTATCTTTTCGGTTCACACGTCATTAAACAAAGAAATGATAGAAGACTGTCACTTAAAAACAAACAGTCAATGCCTTTGAAGATGAGGATTTGCAGCAAAGAACTAGAATTTATCTATTCAGAAGAATATTCCAAAAATGGCGGAATCTATGTTTTCTTTTCTTATTCCATCCATCGTTTTTAAACATGTGTGTTTTTTTTCCGCCGAACATGCGCAGATTTGTTTTCATATCTAGATATAACATTCACTTGAAGAAAGATTGATCGGGATAGATCTTAGCATTCACACTTGAAGAAAAATTGATTCAAATAAGATCGATCTTTTTAAAACCACCTCTGGAGGTGGACTTTTTAAGTCTGATTGAAGATTGATCTTTCCCGTTTACATTAGACTAAAGATCGATCTTTTTTACAAGTGTAAACGAGGTCTACCTGGCAAATTTTTTTCATACACTCAATTTATTATACCCCACGCAACGAGTTGCGGAGGGTATAATGTTTTTGACCCGTCCGTCTGTCAGTCCGTCAGTTCTGTTTCTTGTCATAGCAACTCCTCTCAAACCACACAACAGAATTTCACGAAACCTTTTTAGATAATAAGGACATACTATGTAGTTGTGCATATCGACAGGAAATTACGATTCAATTCTTTTTCTAGGAGTTACGCCCCTTTGAACTTATTTACTTTAATGTACTACTGCAACAGTTTGTCATCGCAACTCCTCTCAAACCACACAACAGAATTTCATGAAACCTTTTCAGATAATAAGGACATACTATGTAGATGTGCATATCGACAGTAAATTACGATTCAATTTTTTTTCCAGGAGTTACGCCCACTTGAACTTATTTGCCCAATATACTACTGCAACCTTTTGTCATCGCAACTCCTCTCAAACCACACAACAGAATTTCACGAAACCTTTTTAGATAATAAGGACACACTATGTAGTTGTGCATATTGATAGGAAATTACGATTCAATTCTTTTTCTAGGAGTTACGCCCCTTTGAACTTAATTACTTTAATGTACTACTGCAACAGTTTGTCATCGCAACTCCTCTCAAACCACACAACAAAATTTCATGAATCCTTTTCAGATAATAAGGACATTCTATGTAGATGTGCATATTGACAGGAAATTATGATTCAATTTTTTTTTCTGATACAATTTTTTTTTCTTACACTTATTTTATTTCTCCAATGACAATGTGGGGACATGGGGTATGTGAGCGCGCTCACTAAGGTTCTTTCATTTCTTTATATTTTATGCATGAAATATTAAGTAGGGGGATGAAATTACATGTTTAAAAAATTTGGGTGATGAATTTTTATGTAAAGTTGTGATTTGGTCCAGTTAAAAAAGGTCAAAATTAGTATGTCATCATAAAATTGTCCATATTTTGAGTTAGAGTTGGTAGACTTTTCTATAATTTTGAAATTATTTGTCCCAAAAGTAGTACACTACACTGTAAAAATCTTTTTGAGATAGATCAGGTGCGATTTTTTTAATTTGAATTTATTGTCTAAAAGAAATGCATTACGACATAACTATGTTCTTGGGCCCTGTCTCTCTGCCCTGTCTTTATGACCAATTAAATTCAATAATTCTTTTCAGTGAAAAATTTTGATTTTGAAAGCTAAATCAAGTTGGTGTAATTTAATCTCTAAAGATTTAACATATGCTATCATAGATTCATAAATATGTAATCAGTCTGAAATACCAGTGTTTTTATCTGTTAAAAAAACGTTTTGAAGAGAGCTGACTACCTCTGTTGAATATTACATCATGATTTATATGTGCAAGGTTGTATGTGATCCTGAAATTTATGTTTCATTACATTAGATTGATTATGTAAGTTTAAAAGCATCAGTCAAATTCAGATATATAAAAACCACCTCTTGTGCAGATAGCCAGATTACTGTACACATGTGTAATGAATGTTCACTAGTTAAACAACTTTAAGTGTTCCATTATATTTACCACTTTGCCATGACACTAAATTCAACTTAGTTGCATGTAAATCAAGTGTACATATTTTATATAATAACTGTTTTTCAGGAAAGTCAAAATATTATTTTAATACAGGGACTTTCTTTGTGACGAAGAAAAAAAATCCCTTGAAGTTGGACCAAAAACCTTGTGTTATATAAAAGATACAAAAACTTGATATAAACTTTCTGAGGAAAGATTGCATATCTTCCATTCAATATAACTTAATTTCTGACGAAAGATTGCACATCTTCCATTAAATATAACTTAATTATTGAGGAAAGATTGCATATCTTCCATTAAATATAACTTAATTTGTGAGGAAAGATTGCATATCTTCCATTAAATATAACTTAATTTCTGAGGAAAGATTGCATATCTTCCATTAAATATCTGATATCTGTTTGGAATTTATTGTCAGAAAAAAAGAATAAAACATTAAAAAAAAAAATGATACCTAAATGAAACTGATCCATTTAAAAGTTTTGTAAAATGTTCTGCACTGTCACTAGAATGTTTTCCCTAAGTTTTATTTCTTTGTAGGAATTCCGTCCGGTTGGCTATAAGAAAGCTTACATATGCCCCTGAAGAACCGGCCCCACAACCAAGTGCTGAGGCAACCAAAGAATTCATGATGAGCCCTGGCAATATAAAACTGGAAGCATCATTAGATAAAGAAGTACAGTATCAATATACATTGTAAAATATATCTGAAAGTCATTGTTTCCTTTTTGATTACAATATTTCTACAATTGAGATAGTGGTTATTAAGAAATTTTGCTTTGAAGTTATGTAATCATTTGCTTAAAGGCTTTGACTTTCACAAACTTTGCTCTATATGGTCAGTGACTGCTTATTTAAAATGTTAATTCAGTCAATATAACTTTACTGTTGAATAGAATGTGACTCCTTATAGCACTGTATATAAAACAGACTTCTAAACAGGATTTTCATCTGCAGGTTAACTTTCTAAAAACTGGATTTTTTTTATGCCCCCGCCATAGCGGTGGGGGCAATAAGTTTTACCCTTGTCCGTCTGTACGTCCGTCCTAAAATTGGTTTCAGTTCTCTCACTTCAGAAAGCCTCAACCAAATGTTATGAAACTTATACACAATGCTTATTACCACAAAACACAAATCAATTTTGAATTTTGGTGGCGTCACTTTTATCGTTCTACAGTAATGCCCCTTTACAAATAGAAAAATTGCTAAATTTTTCATTTCAGTTCTCTAACTTTAGTTTGCCTCAACCAAATGTTATGAAACTTTTACACAATGCTTATTACCACAAAACATAAATCAAGTTGAATTTTGGTGGCGTCACTTTTACTGGTCTAGAGTTATGCCCCTTTACAGATGGAAATATAGCTGAATTTTTAGTTTCCGTTTTCTAACTTTAGTTTGCCTCAACCAAATGTTATGAAACTTCTACACAATGCTTATTACCACAAAACATAAATCAAGTTTGAATTTTGGTGGCATCACTTTTAAAGTTCTAGAGTTATGCCCCTTTACAAATTGCTGAATTTTATGTTTTTGTTCTCTAACTTTAGTTTGCCTCGACCAAATGTTATAAAATGTATACACAATGCTTATTACCACAAAACTCAGAACAAGTACAAATTTGGGTAGAATCACTCTTACAGTTCTTGAGTTATGTCCCTTTATTACATTATATGCAAGCGGGGGCATCATCTGTGTCCCATGGACACATTCCCCATTTATTTGTGTTATTGTGAGTATTTGGTGAAAAATTGTAAAATTAAGTTTTGACAAACTGCATTTTTAGCTTTAAAGATGCTGCTGCATAATCCAAAAAAATTGACAGCTTTTAAAATAAATTACCTATTATTTTTTTCAGAAATACTACCATGGTGAAAGTATTGCAATTAATGTTCTGGTGGATAATAACACAAATAAGACAGTCAAGAAAATAAAAATTTCTGGTAATTTAAACTTTTTTTTAGCAATATATTGTATTTATCTTAGATACATAGATAGCTGTTTGTTAAGACTTTTGTAAAATTTGACTGAAAATTGACATCTTTATTCTGTACAATGTAGGATCATATCAACCTGCACAGAGGTCAATAGGTCATCGCATAGATAACATACAATAACATTTACAACTGCTTCATTGAATTTATCATAAATTTAATAATGTATGGTCCTGTAGATGGCTTTTGAAATTCATTCTCTTCAATCTATTCATATACACCTAACAAAATTTTCTCTTTTTCTGTCGATTCCATCTTTTATATTTGTGCTATAAGTTTGTAGTGCCATTTTGGGTCTGAACCATATTGCCCATGATAAAAAGGTGTGCTCGGACCCTAACCCAAGGTTATATTTTGGAGTTCAAGGTCATACTTGTTATATGTATTGTTACTGTTTTCAGTTCATATACTGGGTATTCATTTTTGACCCAAAGTTATATTTAGAAGTTCAAGGCCCAAGCTGATACATGTATTGATGTTGTGTCTAGGTCTTATGTAGAAGTTCAAGGCCCAAGCTGATATATGTATTGATTTTTGGAAAGTTTGCTATAGCTTGCTATAGCAATATACTTTCCCAAGGCATCAGCCTCAAACCGGAAGTTGGACAGACTATCTTACTATGTCTACTCCTAGATAATGTAGTACTAGTGTTTGAATACTAATTCTAGGAAGATGCTTTTGAAATTTTGAGTTACTTCTATTTTGATTAGCTTACAGCTAGAATTAAAATGTACTGAATGTTCATCGATAGTTCAAATGAATTCAATTTCATTTTGAAAATTGCTATCACAAACATTACTTCGCGGATCTGCGGATTTTGCTCAGTTCTTATTATTTTTCTCCTTGGGTCTATATATGGGTATTTTGAGGGGCCTACAGAAGGGAGGGATTTACTAAAGAACCCTATGGGATTTTATTTTTTTTAATTTTTAAATGACTATAACCTGAAAACAGTAAGTGATAGACACACACACGCTCTTCAGTAATGATCACAGGACAATAAAACAAATCAAATAGAATACAGGTGGAGTCCCTGGGGTCACCCCACCCCCCTTCAATTTGAGAATGGGCTTTTATCTTGTAAACAGTCCAGATCCCCACACCTAAACCATATATATTCATGTATGGGATAATAAAACAAATCAAATGAAATATAGCGGGAGTCCCTCTGGGTCTACCCCACCCCCTCCTGTTTGAGAACTTGTAAACGGTCGAGATCCCCACCCCTTAACCATATATATTCTTGTATGGGACAATAAAACAAATCAATTGAAATATAGGGGGAGTCCCTGGGGTCACCCAACCCCATCCGGTTTGAGAACTTGTAAACGGTCGAGATCCCCACCCCTAAACCATATATATTCTTGTATGGGACAATAAAACAAATCAAATGAAATATAGGGGAAGTTTACATGGGTGACCCCCACCCCAAAACCATATATATTCTTGTACGGGACAATAAAACAAATCAAATGAAATATAGGAGGAGTCCCTTGGGGGTCACCCCACCCCATCCTGTTTGAGAACTTGTAAACGGTCGAGATCCCCACCCCAAAACCATATATATTCTTGTACGGGACAATAAAACAAATGAAATGAAATATAGAGTCCCCTGAGAATCAACCCCCCCCCCCTTTTTGAGAACTTGTAAACGGTTGAGATCCCCACCCCTAAACCATATATATTCCTGTTCATGATTTCAAGAGGATTTGAATGACATACAGGGTTCATCCCTAGGCGTCACTTATGCATATCACTTTACTAGACCAAACCAATTTGTACTGGACTTTGCCCAATGTCAGACGACCATGGGAATGACTAATTATGGGAGCTTTGTTTGGAAGACTTCGTAACAGCATCCTGTTACAATTATTTCTTGTATTAAGTAAAAAAATTCGGAAAAAAACCGTTAACCACACAATCTACTAATCTTAGTCCGAGTTTGTTCAATATATAACAATTCAAACAAGAAAACTAACTGCTTAATTAGTAATAATATAGTTTACCTATTTGAAATAATACACATCTACAACCTATTTGAAATAATACACATCTACAACCTATTTGAAGTAATACACATCTACAACCTATTTGAGATAATACACATCTACAACCTATTTGAAGTAATACACATCTACAACCTATTTGAAATAATACACATCTACAACCTATTTGAAATAATACGCATCTACTGTTGCAAACTTTCCACAGGTGCTATCCAGCACTTTGATTGTCTTGGTCATATTTAGAAGTTTAAGGCCCAAACTGATACAATTATTGGTATTTTGTGTAGGTCATGTTTAAAAGTTCAAAGCCAAGTTTGAGGCATGTATTAATATTTTGTGTAGGTCATATCTGTGCTTTAACTTCTGTAATCTGTTTACATTGTTCTGACAGTTCTAGTTTTTATTTATTTGAAAGATATTGAGGTAAATTTTGTAAAAGAGTATCTACGTTAGGGGAATACCAGTTTCAATTTTGGAATAAATAATTCAGATGAAATGTTATTTTAATGGTTCAAAAGCCATAAAATTTTGAAGTTAATATTTAATCCAAAGCTTTTCTAGATTCATAAACTTAAGTATGAAAATACTGTAATATATGTATTTTGTTAGTTTGTCAGCATACCGAGATATGTCTGTTTCAAGTCTCATTTTATGATTTTGAGACAACAAAATTTTCATCTGAATCGTAAGTTTATGGTATTAGCTGTGCCTGAATTCCTGATGTAAATAATAGACCAACATGCACACTGCCTTATATTATAATCAGATAAATCTTACCTTACCCTCATACAGATATAGAATGAATTATATAACTGGCATGAATACCTCAATGTTTTATATGTTACAATATGGAAATATCAGAAGAAGAAAAACTACATGGCAGTGATTACTTTGTTACATTCCTTGTTACAGTTTTTGTCAGACTGCTAAGAATGTCCTGAAGTGAGACCCTAAAGTAGTCATTTCCAACTCATGTTGTTATGTCTACTGGTTAGGTCTATTATGACATCCATACATCTCAATTGTTTGAGACTTCTCTCATGTATGCTGATATGACTGCCAATATTTACAATGCCCACAAATTTTAGATGTGTTTAAAGAAAATGTATAAATCATTATTATTTATTAGGTATATTGAGCTTTACTAGGCCTCCCATTCTGATTAAAAATAAAATGCAAAATCGTACTGTCTACCTTTTTATGCCCCACCTAGGATAGTAGAGGGGCATTATGTTTTTCAGTCTGTGCATCCGTTCGTTCGTCCGTCTCTGAACCGCTTCGGGTTAAAGTTTTTGGTCAATGTAGTTTTTGATGAAGTTGAAGTCCAATCAACTTGAAACTTAGTACCTGTGTTCCCTATGATATGATCTTTCTAATTTAATTAGAGTTTTGACCCCAATTTCAATGTCCAATGAACATAGAAAATGATAGTGTGAATGGGGCATCTGTGTACTATTGACACATTCTTGTTTTATAGTAAACTGTGGAGGAGGGGGGATTCAGGAAACTGATGGGATATAGCCAATATTTTTTTTTAGTACATTTTCTAATTAAAGAACCCCTAATGTTTCAAGGTCAACCCCTTTTTTGCAAATATTGGATCTGGTTATTGAGACCTACAAATTAAGTAACCTTTATTCTGCAATATACAAGAGAATGGTAAGACATATTTTATAGAAAGTAAAAGTAAATTTACAAGCAAGTGTTTCTATGGTGATGAGTATATATAATATTATATAATATAATATAAATATTTGCACAAGTTTATAAATGTTGTTTTATAAAGCATGCTTTATCTTTTGCACTACAGTTCGACAGTTTGCAGACATATGTTTATTTTCAACTGCTCAATACAAGTGTACAGTGGCAGAACTGGAAAGCGAGTAAGTGTAACCTATAATGGGATGTAACAGGAAAGGTGACAGTACACTTTTACAAAACTCTAACTGCACAAACAGATGTTTTATTTTCGGAATAACTTCTTTGTTTTTCTAAGATCATGTCTTCCTTTCAGATTCTAATTTCAAAACTTACATATTTATATACTTCATTTCAATACCTCATATTTTATTCTATTTATAGCCTGAAAAAATACATCAAGGACATAAATTTTCATCCTTGTCCATGTGGCTGCACATACAATAAGGGGTTATCTTAAGTTCAAATTGACATTTGAAATATTAGAATGTTAGAAACAACTGTAAACAGAATGTAAATGAAACTTCACCCATTGCACTTCAATTGTTTCATAGTCATGCCCTTGAAAATGCTGAAAAATGATAAAATATGAAAACCAGCTAGAGTTTATATTGTAACACAACCCAAGGAACTAGTAAACTTAGATAAGGATAGAGTTTAACATATTTTCAAATTTGTGCCCCATTATGAAGAAAATACACAAAATTTCAGGGCGAGTTCTAACTTTAATAGCATCCTACTCATTTTAACTGTATTTCACAAATGGTTCAGTTCATGGATTTCAGATATCTATTGGTTGCTGAGGAATCCAAGATTATACATTTTCTTATAATCTCTTTTCATTTAAATAAACCTTGTTGTTTAAATTGCATTAATATAACTGCTATCTCTTTAAAATATTATTTCTCTGACTGCATGATTTGTCTTTTATTATTTGTATTAAGTTTTTGTATTCACAAGAAAATGTAAAAATGTCTCTGCTTTCTTATTTAAAGAATGATTTTCATTTGTCTTCTTATAGTATATCAAAAAGGTAAACATTTTACATTGCAGCACAGTAATTTAGAGCTACATATAACCAGTATACATATATATATATATATTTTTGTCTTTTCACTTGTATTAGATCAGCAAAAAGGTAGTGATATGGGGTAATATTTGTTGTTTATTTTTATCCTCAATTAATAGTTTTTTTCTCCTTGATAATACATTTTTAAATTAAAATGTCAGTAAAAATACTTGTTTCATTGATAACCATTGCAGAGTGGCTCTAATAAGTGAAGGAATTTCAAACAATATGTGTAGATCTAAATGAAGAATTACTTGCCAGTGCTTCTTTGCAATGTTGACAGTTTGATGTGAAAATAAAAAACAATGCTTGGTAGTGAAAATAAACTGTTAGCCATGACACCAAACAAAATTCCATCATTTCCTTCAAATATAACCAATCCCTCATGAATACATGATATTTTGTCAGTATTTTGCATATCAAATTTAGTCCTTGTTAATTAATTCTCAATTATACTCTGTCAGATGTATGTTCATTTCTCTCCTTTATAATGCCTAACTTTACTTAATACATAATTATGGCATATTGCATAATGCCTTACTTTACTCAGCAAATAATTGTAAACATTGCATAAAGTCATTATGGAATTACTACACAAAATACACAGCTATTACATTGATATAAATATATGATTATACTTTGCATAATAATTAACACTGTTAGGAGATACATACAGCATTGCATTATTGCAAGTAAACGTACAAAAAATACCCAAACAAAGGATTTTGATAATCTTATATTGACTACAGGGGGAAGCATATCATCATTCTATTATACAACATATTATTTGATTTTTATGCCCCCGCCATAGCGGAGGGGCATTAAGTTTTACCCTTGTCCGTCTGTACGTACATCTGTCTGTACGTACGTCCCTAAGTTGGTTTCCCTTCTCTAACTTTAGCTTGCCTCAACCAAATGTTATTAAACTTATACACAATGCTTATTACCACTAAATACAGATCAAGTTTGAATTTTGGTGGCGTCACTTATACCGTTCTAGAGTTATGCCCCTTTATAAACTTAAGTTTGCCTCAACCAAATGTTATGAAACTTATACACAATGCTTATTATCATAATATACAGATCAAGTTTGAATTTTGGTGCCATCACTTCTACTGTTCTAGAGTTATGCCCTTTACAAATGGAAAAATTGCTAAATATTTTCATTTTTTTTTCTAAATGTCAGTTATTTTTAAAATTGGAGTTATCTTCCTTATTCCATGATTACAGTTGAATCAACTACAATCAATGCTTTATACAATGCAATGTTTAATTTTGCCTTCCACTGATAAATTAAAGCAATTTTTACCCTTCATTTCTAAAAATATTTTAAAGTCTTCTTTGAAAATTGAGTTATCTTTCTTTGTGCATAATGGTAGTTGAATCAACTACAACCAATGCTTTATACAATGCAATGTTTAATTTTGCTTTCCACTGATAAAACACAGATCAAGTTGAATTTGGGTAGTGTCACTTTAACCATTATTGAGTTATGCCCCTTTATAAATCTAAACATTGCGTCACTTTTACTGTTCTTCAGTTATGTCCCTTTATAACTATATGATATGCAAGCAGGGGCATCATCTGTGTCCACATGTGGACACAATCCACATTTATTTTATCTATAAAAGTACAATGTTGTTAAGATTAAAATGACTATATCTTATATTTGCATAGCTTCAGAAAAGGGAACATCTTAGCACGAATAACAGTAAACTAAATGTAAATAAATAGAATCCCGCCCAAAAATCCAGTGAATGTCCGCACCACATTGCAAACTTGATTTAAACACAAATATACAGCGTGACCACACCTTTCTTCATCACCTGAGAATCAGCTCATCATGAACAGGTTTCACATGCTACTTGACGAATCTACAGGTTTTAAAATGCCTAAATAAAAGTGGACAGTACATAATTAATTAGACATAAAATGTGGACATATAAAATACAATGTAGCCTGCAGAAAACACCAATACTGATGGTTTGCAAATTGAAATTAAGTTAATAAACCATAATGACTATGCATGTATGATCATGTATGTGAATAAGTAAGTCATACTGTGACACTTGCACTCATTCAAGTATGCTTGTTGTGATTTATTTCAAACTTTATCAAATTTATTTTTAATAGTATTCTTATGATTTCTATACCTTTGATGATTTTCCAGAACTATGGGACTTAAATCTTCAAAAATAAGCAACTTTTTCTCAAGTGTCGCCCACCATCTCAAGTTGTAGTATGTTGGACCCAACTAGAACTTATTATAACAGTCAATACCATAATTGACTAACAAGGAATAAATCTTTGATGGCCCCTTTTCTTAAATATGTTGCACAACACTCCCATATTGAATTTTTTTTTATTAATTTTGATGGAGGTTATTGGTTATGGTCAAGGTAGGAATGTTCATTAGGTGTTCATATTGTTTCAATGGTATTATGTTCACTTTAGAAAAGAGTAGTCTAAAAACCAAATAGTTTATTTTATATTGCCTTTCATGTAGATTAAACCTGTATTATTTTCCCTTCCAACATAATACCCTTTGCTTGCTATAAAAATTATTGGGTGTTAGTTATGAAGAATTCGTCTGAAAACGTATAGTTTTAATTTTATAGGTAATAGTGTATAATGTGAAAATATAGATAATATTTATTTTCTGTAATTGCTCTGGTGGAACAACTTGATTTATGCAACTTAGACATTATCTTAAGAAAATATGGCTATGGAATGACTCTCTTTGTGATAACTCTTACCACATTAACATAATCCACTAAAATAATAGTGAAAAATTTACCCAGATTTATTGGTCTTTTCTGATAGAATTCCCAGAATGTACAAACTGGGGGTAAGAATGAAAAACTTTGATAAGAATATATAAAAACATAGGCCATCAAAAACGGATTGTTTGAATTACTGTAAAAGCAGATATTTTTGAGGAGGATTTAATTTCGTTTATTTCGTGGAAAGAATATATCCACGAAATTAAAACCCCCACGAAAATTAAACCTACATATGATAGCATTTCCATTTACTGGAAACCACGAAATTAAATCCCCATGAAATCTTATATAGAGACAAAACCACGAAATTTTAACCCCACGAAAATTAATGTTTCTACAGTATTAATCTGCAAGATATATAGTCTCTTTTGTTAGGTTTCTTAGAATGTATACTTGTGAAAAACAGGTGAAAAATTCTGTCTGTTTTGAGAGTTTTTGTAAAACTTTTCTAGAATTGGTATGAAATATTTGGAACATTATTCAATTTTATTTATTTCTATTGTAACAAGTTTTATTTTTGTTACGGTTGTTGAATGAAATGTGTGTACTGTAAAGGAATATCTTATAGTCACTGTTGAATATTGATTTGTGTATTCTTATAACGCAGACCTTTGTAAACATCTTACAGTATGTTAAAAATCAAAACTTTATTCCCATTAAACACAGAATAATTTGTGTTTTGAGACATTGTTATAAGTTTACTATGCCAATGCTGGTGAGAAAATATAAAGTAAAAAATCAGTCTTAAGTGATTAGATGCAAAGTTTTATATTTATGTTCTCAAAGGTAATATGAAATAGAAGATGGCGAGAATAATCTCTGGAAAATTCTTCAAACATTGTATTTTGTATTGGCTTGTATTACCTCTGATAATGGGATTAAAATCCTTGAATTATAGCGGGATTACAGCAACCAAGTTAGCTTGTATTTACAAGATTCTGTCTCTCAGAAAAATGTATTGCTATTCAGAGGTGTTGCTTGATTGTTCTGTTATATTGAGAGTTTTCACCTGGAAATTGTTTAGCGGGACCTTATAACCCATTTAACATAGGCTTCTGTATTGCATTTTTATTTCAATTTAACTTTTGATGTAAAAAAATACTCTACAATAATCAATTGGAAAAACCATACTGTTAAAACAACAATGCATTAACAAACAATTGCTTTAAGTTATGAATAGGAGAAAAACTTTGTTGTCCAAAATGGATATTTTACCTCCCTTTCAGGAGACTTAACTTTGAGAAAAGAAGTTTTTATGCAACATTGGATTTGTATTCCAATTAATATAATATACCTAAACATAATAAATTATAAACTACTCAAATGTCCTTTTCCCTTCAATTCTCTTTCAGGATTTCCTTCTACATGCTAATATTGTACTAATCATTGTGCCAGCATTGATTGATATCATGAGTTAAGCATTGTCTTTAAAAGCAAGTTTAGTTGTTTGATCCTTTACCAATACATACTTACCCATCAGCCATGCAAAGACACTGACTCATTTATCTAATAAGATCAACAGCTTAAATGTCATGTTGAAGTAATTACATGTAGAACTGAGATCAAATAAACATTGTGCAAAGACATTATTTTACAATTACCTGAATTTTCTCTGCATACATGTTGCTGTATGGTGTTTTGATGGCCATGCTTGCTGACGGAAGTTGCTGTGCTTGCTAATATTTTGCTACCATTGATAACCAAACCAACATTGTTATAATTATATAATGCGTCTGTACTTTCCTTGTCCGAGTGTTTTGGAAATTTGCTGCTAATTTGCAGTTAATTGACTTGTTTTGATTAAAATGGACTTTTGTTACATGAGAGAAAAAAGATACTCAGATTGCTATTTATTGCAGATAAAATTCAAAAAAATGTTTGTATTCACTGGCTTTTTTATTTTATTTTATTTTATTTTTTCCTCTTTTCTGAATATGGATATTTTTGTGACTATCACTAACAAGCATAAATACTATACAGAGAATTCATTGTAATTTTGATGGTAAGTCTTGGGGCTTAATTAGAAAAGAACATTAATTATGGGTTCTGAGATAGGGCCAAATTATAATTCATAATAGTTTTCATGGTGGAAAACTGCAAAATTTGCAAAGAATACTTTTGTTAGGGATTCATTTTCTACAATATTCAGTGTTGTTTGTGAGATAAAATTTCTTTTTAGAAAATCATCTTTATTTCTTGGACTTTAGATATTTAGAATTTACTTGTTGACCTGACATTGTTATAATTTTGAAGAATTTCTATAAATTAATAATGTTTTTTTTAATTTTTACAGAGAAGGATTTCCGATTCAACCTAGTCAAACTGGATTTTGTAAAGTATACCACTTAACTCCATTATTAACCAATAATCGAGATAAACGGGGTTTAGCCTTGGATGGAAAACTAAAACATGAAGATACTAATCTTGGATCTTCAACCATGTAAGTCTCAGCAATTTTGCACATTAAAAGAACATGAAAAATTTTGTGAAATATGAATCCAGCAGCAAGTATATAAATACACAGATACTTAAAAAATAATTACCACAAATAAATTAGGTAAATTTATGAAAATAAAAATAGAAAAATAAAATTTGTGTTCATTTTACCTTTTCTTCTCTTGAAAAAGACCTTCAATAGTCTTCATATATTTCATTCTTCTTATACAAAAACAAGTTTGTGTTTACAAATATTTAATTTAGTTATGAAATTGAAATAATTGCTACGCTACTTGAAGTACAACTTCTTATTTGTTTCAGCATTAAAGGGACAAATTTTAACCCAGAACAAATATTTAACATGTTATATATAAACAGTAAATTATTTTTGTAACTTTTTCAGAATGACAGAGACTTGTCAGAAAGAAAACTTAGGGATTGTTGTTTCATATAAGGTTAAAGTTCGTCTCATCTTAGGATTTGGATCAGGGTAAGAATTGTGTATTGTTGTTGTGATTTGACTAAAAGTAGATTCATATTATATCAAAAAGACAAACAGTTTACTTTGAAATCAGATTTAAGATAAAAAAAAAAGAAAACCAAATGAACTTGACCAATCTTCAAAGTGAAGTTAAGCACCTCTTTTTTTGTCTCACCTCAAAGAAGTCATAATGTGAGACTTGGATGTGCTGTTTCTGACAGCAGATACAGTGAATCACTAATGTTAAGTCAATGATATTTGGTATGCAGTGGTACTACCGTACTAGCATTGGCACATCTTATTTCCATGATGATTATTTGGCCCTGCCCCCTCAGTCATGGTCTATTGACTTTGAAACATTTGCAGTTTAAATGTTAAAAGTTTTTGATTAGGTCGGTTTAAGGGAACCACTCATGATAATTGTTTCATATTTGGTATTATTTCAATTTAGATTATATGGCCCTTCTTCCTCAATCATGGTCTATTGACTTTGAAACTTGTACATAGTTTGCATGATAAAGTTTGTGATTAGGTCAGTTTAAAGGGAACCACTTATGATTAGTCTATGATATTGGGTGTAGTTGTATTGGCATTGGCATATCTCATTTCCTTAAAGATTATTAGGCCCTGCACCTTCAGTCATGGTTCATTGACTTTGAATGGTTTGCTTATTTTACATGTTAAAGTATTGCCATATTGATTCAGCATTTGCATGTTACTATATCATTACATGCAGGCGAGACATATCTCTGTTTCAACAGTTACAGTGCATTAAGTATCCTATCCATGAACATATCTAGAAATTCATCAATGAAATATTTCAATGCTTCTTTGTTTAAGTTGTGGAGTTATCTTCCTTTGCCCATAGTTGTAGTTGAACAAAGGAAGAAATCTCTAATTATAGAAGTGCCTTTCAAAACTTAATACAATGCTATGTTAGATTATTAGTTCCTATTGCAAAATAAAAAACCTGAATGCTACCAAAATTTTGTTTAATGGCCATCATGATTTTCTTATGTTTGTATCCCTAAATTTTTTCATAAAAAGATGAAGGAGAAACAAGATGTCTTTTTAAAACTTGTTTTCAAAGTATGAGTGATTTTAATTTTCAGTGATTTCTCACAAAGTATAATGATTTTAATTTTCAGTGATTTCTCACAGAGTATAATGATTAAAATGTTCAGTGATTTCTCACAAAGTATGAGTGATTTTAATTTTCAGTGATTTCTTACAAAGTATGAATGATTATTTTTTTTTTTTCAGTGATTTATCAGTAGAACTGCCATTTACATTGACACATCCTAAGCCTCTTGAGTCTCCACCTCCCTCAAGATCGGTGAGTCTGGTCCCTACAGAGGACGGAGATGTTCCAGTAGACACTAATCTTATACAGCTTGACACTAAGTAAGTATCAGGAGATTTATTGGTTTAACCTAAAACAAATAGGAATTTGAATAAAAGCATTAGAACCATTGATAAAAAAAATATCCTTTGTTTTCATCAAAATATATGTACAAAAATACATTCTTCAAAAGTAAGTGATATATTTTATTCTTTTCTTATAACTTTACATTGTAATGCTGATTCCATATTTTATGTACTTATAATACCAGATTTAATATTCATGTGAATTTATAAGAAAGTAAAGGGAAATGGAAAAGATTGTATAGAAGTATCCCATCAAGTAATATGAAATCAATTGTGATAAATATTTTTTTATGCATTAGCAAAAAGGAGGACTAAATTTTGTGGTAATTTTCTGAATGGACATTATAATTGTAAAAATATATCATGAAAGTCAAGCTGCATGTAAAAATAATGATAATCACCTTGTTGTCCCATATTATAGGTATATCTGGTTAACTTATGATAAAAATCATTTTAAAGTTCAACTTGGCAAGACGTAGCAAGAATCAGTTTGTTTAAACTTCATTTTGAGAGCTTGTGATGTCATTAAAGTTCTATAAAAGTATACTTTATGACATAGTTCTTTAATAATGCTTTGGTGTTGTTACATTACTGATACTATATAAACACCAGCATTTAATAGAGTGAGGGGTTCAGCCATATCTTGCAGGGATATCATACTCTCTTATGCAGGTATATTATGCTCTCTCATACAGAGATTTCATGCCCTATCATGCAGGGATTTCATGCTCTCCCATGCAAGGATATCATGCCCTCTCATGCAAGGATATCATGCCCTCTCATGCAGTAGTATCATGCCTTTTGATGCAGGGATATCATTTACTCTCATACAAGGATATCATGGCCTCTCATGCTGGAATATGGATATCATGGCCTCTCATACAGGGATCTCATGCTGGAATATGGATATCATGACCACTAATGCAGAGATATAGCCTCTTATGCAGGGATATCATGCCCTCTCATTCAAGGATATCATGTCCTCATGCACAGGGATATCATGCCCTCTCATGCAGGAATATCATGCCCTCTCATTCAAGGATAGCATGCCCTCTCATTCAAGGATATCATATTCTCTTTGAGAGGAATATCATGCCCTTTCATGGAGAGATTTCACTTATTCAAACCGAAAATCATACACTGTGTAATGTAACACAAATTCATATAAAAATAAGGAGATGTGATTCGATTGCCAATGAGACAACTATCCACCAGAGTTCAAATGAAGTGGATGTAAGCAATTATAGGCAACTGTACTCCTTCAACAATGAGAAAAACCTGTACTGTATAGCCGGCTATAAAAGGCCCCAGCATGAAAAATATGAAACAATTCAATTGAGAAAACTAACGTCCTAATTTATAACAAAACAATTTATGAAAAACAAATATGACAGACATGAACCAACGTCAACCACTGAACTACAGGCTCCTGACTTGGGACAGACACATAAAGAATGTGGCAGGGTTAAACATGTTTGTGAGCACTCAACCCTCCCCTAACCTGGGACAGTGGTGTAACAGTACAACGTAAGAACAAACTATATAAAAATCAGTTGAAAAAGGCTTACCTCATCTGATAGATAAAGATCAGAAAAACATCAAACAAAAACACAGGCAGTTTTTAGTTTATAGATTATTTTATCCCTTCGACTTCACTTAAATGTCCATCATCATAAACAAAATTTTGTTGCAGAAACATTCATTCTGGCCCTAATAACCATTTTGAAAACATTATGACTTTTAAGCTATAGTATGCAAATTATTAGATAGAATTGATCATGACAGATTATAAAGTGTCATTTTCCATATCATTCTGCAACTCTTTTCACAAAATATCTTACGAGTAAAAACACTCTTAAGTCTTGAACATTTCAGTATAACTTACGATCAAATTTAGTCGTAAGATTTTTTGTGAAAACAGCCCCAGAGTAACAGTCATCACCCATCTGAAGCCTCCCAAGTTAGTGTCAAACTGATAACACAGTTGATATGGAAATTGACAAGTTTTAATCAGTAAGAGACAGTTACTTTATGATAATAACCAATGTGTATAGGACCACCATCATATATCAAACACACAACCATTATGTATGTGCATGCTCAATGAACAGGAGTTATCAATATTGGTGTTCCTTCCTTTTACAACCTAAATGTTTGCACCATGAACATCATTTATATATACTATGATAACAATGTGTATGCTATGATGATCTACTACTCGAGAAGTTTCAAAATAAAAATAGTGGTAATTTTTTTCTTAAGGAAAGTCACATGCAAAAAAATGGTTAATGATTTAAACAGTTTAACTTCATACTATGAAAAGGGGCTACATGTGCTTTTTATACGACCGCAAAAATTTTGTGGTCGTATATTGGTATGACGTTGGCGTCGGTGTCGTCGTCCGGCGTCGTCGTCTGAATACATATTGGTTTTCGCACTCTAACTTTAGTTTAAGTGAATGGATCTTTTTGAAATTTGACCATAAGGTTAAATACCACAAAAGGAAGGTTGGGATTGATTTTGGGGGTTATGGTACCAACAGTTAAGGAATTAGGGGCCAAAAATGAGCATTTTCTAGTTTCCAGACAATAACTGTGGAACGGTGTATGGATCTCTCTGAAATTATACTACAAGTTTCCATACCACAAAGGGATGGTTAGGATTTGCTTTGGGGGGTTATGGCTCAAACCGTTTAGGAATTAGGGGCAAAAAAGGGGGAAAAACAAGGTTGTCCTGGTTAATGGACAAATACTTTAGTACAAAACATAATTTAGAGCAGTGTAAGGGAGATAAATCAAATACATCATTGAAATTATCTCCCTTACACTGCTTTTAAATTATGTATAAAGTAATGGTTAATGAACAATAAAGATAATCTAAAACAGTGTAAGGGAGGTAATCCAAATACAACGTTTTGGTTACTTCCCTTACACTGCTTTTAAATTATGTTTAAAGAAATGCATATTTATAAAGGAAGACCAGTAAAAATATCTGCAAATGTTTTCATCTTTTTTTTTTACAAAAAAATCCATATGAAAAATTTGACACTATATTTTTATTAATTCTATTATAAAATAGATTAAGTTAGCACTATGGTAAATTTAAATGGGTAATTATGGTTGCCAACTCCATTGGAAATTTGAATTGAGATTATGACCATATCTTGAGGGAAAGAATTTTTTTGGGGGAAAAAGGGGGGGGGGGGATAAAAAGAAATTGTGGGGGGCCAATTTTTTCTCATTTCAGATTTCAGAAATTAAAAAGAATTATTCTTCAAATATTATTTTTTTTTCAAATTTCAAATATTGAAAAATTTCAAGAAGTAATCTTTAATTGCACAGTATGGCGCATAAGATTTGTAAAATCTTTGATCACATTTATTTATTTGTTATGCGGAATCTAACAGTGTATTTAGATTTTTAATTTTGGGTCCAGTTTTCAAATTGGTCTACATTAATGTCCAAAGGGTCCAAAATTAAACTTTGTTTGATTTTTGCAAAAATTGAATATATGAGGTTCTTTTGATATGCTGAATCTAAACATGTATTTAGATTTTTGATTTTTGGCCCAGTTTTCAAGTTGGTCCAAATTGGGGTCCAAAATTAAACTTTGTTTGATTTCAACAAAAATTGAATATATGGGGTTCTTTGATATGCTGAATCTAACCATGTATTTAGATTTTTTATTTGTGGACCCCTTTATCTAATTGGTTCATATTGAGGTCAAAAGGGTCCAAAATTAAACTTTGTTTGATTTCATCTAAAATTGAATTATTGGGGTTCTTTGATATTCCAAATCTAACCGTGTATTTAGGTTTTTAATTTTGGGTCCTGTTTTTGTCGAGCCTGCGACTTTTGTCGCAGAAAGCTCGACATAGGGATAGCGATCCGGCGGCGGCGGCGGCGGCGTTAGCTAACTTCTTAAAAGCTTTATATTTTAGAAGGTGGAAGGTCTGGATGCTTCATACTTTGTATATGGATGCCTCATGTTACGAAGTTTCCGTCAGTCACATGTCTAATGTCCTTGACCTCATTTTCATGGTTCAGTGACTACTTGAAAAAAAAGTTAAGATTTTTTGTAATGTTAGATTCTCTCTTAATTTAAGTAATAAGATAACTATATTTGGTATGTGCGTACCTTGCAAGGTCCTCATGCCCGTCAGACAGTTTTCACTTGACCTCGACCTCATTTCATGGATCAGTGAACAAGGTTAAGTTTTGGTGGTCAAGTCCATATCTCAGATACTATAAGCAATAGGTCTAGTATATTCGGTGTATGGAAGGACTGTAAGGTGTACATGTCCAACTGGCAGGTGTCATCTGACCTTGACCTCATTTTCATGGTTCAGTGGTTATAGTTAAGTTTTTGTGTTTTGGTCTGTTTTTCTTATACTGTATGCCATAGGTCTACTATATTTGGTGTATGGAATGATTGTAAGGTGTACATGTCTAGCGGGCAGGTGTCATCTGACCTTGACCTTATTTTCATGGTTCAGTGGTCAAAGTTAAGTTTTTGAGTTTTGGTCTTTTTTTCTAATACTATGTGCAATAGTTCAACTATATTTGGTATGTGCGTACCTAGCAAGGTCCTCATGCCCGTCAGACAGTTTTCACTTGACCTCGACCTCATTTCATGGATCAGTGAACAAGGTTAAGTTTTGGTGGTCAAGTCCATATCTCAGATACTATAAGCAATAGGTCTAGTATATTTGGTGTATGGAAGGACTGTAAGGTGTACATGTCCAACTGACAGGTGTCATCTGACCTTGACCTCATTTTCATGGTTCAGTGGTTATAGTTAAGTTTTTGTGTTTTGGTCTGTTTTTCTTATACTATATGCAATAGTTCAACTATATTTGGTGTATGGAAATATTTTATGATCTATTTGGCAGTCACGCAGGTTTTATTTGACCTTGACCTCATTTTCAAGGTTCATTGCTCAGTGTTAAGTTTTTGTGTTTTGGTCTGTTTTTCTTAAACTATAAGCAATAGGTCAACTCTATTTGTTGTATGGAAGAATTGTTAGCTGTACATGCCTGCCTAGCATGGTTCATCTGACCTTGACCTCATTTACATGGTTCATTGGTCAATGTTTAGTTTACTTGGTTAATGTTAAGTTTATGTGACAGTTGTATTAAAGCTTTATATTTAGGACTATCAACATAATATCAATGATTAGTAAAGAAGGCGAGACATTTCAGCGTGTGCACTCTTGTTTAAATTGGTCTACATTGAGGTCCAAAGGGTCCAAATTAAACTTAGTTTGATTTTAACAAAAATTGAATTCTTGGGGTTCTTTGATTTGCTGAATCTAAACATGTGTTTAGATTTTTGATTATGGGCCCAGTTTTCAAGTTGGTCCAAGATAGGGTCCAGTATTTAAACTTTGTTTGATTTCAACAAAAATTAAATATATGGGGTTCTTTGATATGCTGAATCTAAACATGTATTTAGATTTTTGATTTTTGGCCCAGTTTTCAAGTTGGTCCAAATTGGGGTCCAAAATTAAACTTTGTTTGATTTCAACAAAAATTGAATATATGAGGTTCTTTGATATGCTGAATCTAACCATGTATTTAGATTTTTTATTTGTAGGCCCTGCTATCAAATTGGTTCATATTGAGGTCAAAAGGGTCCAAAATTAAACTTTGTTTGATTTCATCGAAAATTGAATTATTGGGGTTCTTTGATATGCCAAATCTAACCGTGTTTTTAGATTTTTAATTTGGGTCACGTTTTTTAAATTGGTCTTCATTGAGGTCCAGAGGGTCCAAAATTAAACTTAGTTTGATTTTAGCAAAAATTGAATTCTTGGGGTTCTTTGATATGCTGAATCTAAACATGTGTTTAGATTTTTGATTATGGGCCCAGTTTTCAAGTTGGTCCAAGTTGGGGTCCAAAATTATACTTTTTTTGATTTCAACAAAAATTGAATATATGGGGTTCTTTGATATGCTGAATCTAACCATGAATTTAGATTTTTTATTTGTGGGCCCCGCTATCAAATTGGTTCATATTGAGGTCAAAAGGGTCCAAAATTAAACTTTGTTTGATTTCATCAAAAATTGAATTATTGGGGTTCTTTGATATTCCAAATCTAACCGTGTATTTAGATTTTTAATTTTAAGTCCCGTTTTTTAAATTGGTCTACATTAAGGTCCAAAGGGTCCAAAATTAAACTTAGTTTGATTTTAGCAAAAATTGAATTCTTGGGGTTCTTTGATATGCTGAATCTAAACATGTGTTTAGATTTTTTATTATGGGCCCAGTTTTCAAGTTTGTCCAAGTTGGGGTCCAAAATTTAACTTTGTTTGATTTTAACAAAAATTGAATATATGGGGTTCTTTGATATGCTGAATCTAACCATGTATTTTGATTTTGGACATTGGACCATAATAGGTAAATTAAAAAAATTCAAGTTCTTAGACCACATTCTTTCTGTGTCAGAAACCTATGCTGTGTCAAATATTTAATAACAATCCAAATTCAGAGCTGTATCAAGCTTGAATGTTGTGTCCATACTTGCCCCAACTGTTCAGGGTTCGACCTCTGCGGTCGTATCAAGCTGCGCCCCAGCGAAGCATTTTATTGTGACATATCTTTATAAAATACAGATATAAATTTTGATTGATATTTTATGCATTGCTTTAGAATGTAGCAAAGTGTTGTACCTGCCTCAGGCCTATTGATCTATTGATGCTGTCATTTGGAAAAGAAAAAGAAAATAAATCAAAACAAGATGATATATATATATATATATAAAAAAAAGTGAACCCACTAAATTTTATGTGAAAGACTTCTAAATCCTTTTAAAGTATATCCATCAGTGCTTACAATACTAGGTTTGATTTTTATTCGTTCATCAGCTTGAATGCCAGAGTGAGTGAACTATTGCTATCTATTTGTTTTCTTGTTTATTCTTTCATATTTTAATCAACTCCTAGGAAGCAACAAGGTCAAATTGAACTTGACAAATAAATGTATGCTCTGTCTTTAATTATTAAAATTTTGTTCTGATGGACAATTGACATGGTAATCTTTTGATTGATTGTAGTAATTCTTGATTCTGAATGAGCAATTAATGTGACTGCTAGAGCAGTTCTTGATTCTGATTTTCAAATGAATGAACTCACAAAGGGCATATGATGGTCAGAAAAAAACAAAAAATTACAGTACAATTAACCAAAAGCAATTCTCAATTGTGATTTTTCAGTTTTCAAACTTTTCATCATTGTAAAGACTATAACTTATGTAAGAATATTGAATCAGAAACCATTTTAAATTTAAAAAAAAAAAGGTTTGTTGGTGCTACTTTGATGATTACCTGTCCATGGTGGCAATAATGCCACATATTCCCAATAAATACATGTAGAAATCACAGAATGTAGCAGGTCAAACAAGCCTGAAAGCCCCTTCAAAATACAGAAAACATGGTTTGCTGTCAATTAGATAACTCATTGTCTATTCTTCATGGTTAATATAACCTATACTTGACAGGAATTATGTGTGGAAGGTCCCTTATGATAAAAGTAGGTTCTACTAGCACTAAAACACATTGTCAAATAAAATAATTCTAATGACTAGATAGTCAGCATTAAATTTCTTCTTCCCTGAAACTACAAAGTAATATCTTATAAAATTATATAACAATAATGATTTTTAGAAAGGATTGTTATTTGCATTGGAAAGCATACAGGGTCAACTCTTGCAGCATTGAATTTGATTCAACACAATGGGAAATTTCATTTTTGATTTTTATCCCCTGCTCGACAGAGTCTGGGGTATATAGGAATCGTCATATCCATCCATCGTTAAAAGTTTTGGTTTCCAGATGATAAGTAGAGAACAGTTTTTATACGACCGCAAAAAAATTTTTGTGGTCGTATATTGGTATGACGTTGGCGTCGTCGTCGTCCGGCGTCGTCGTCGTCGTCCGGCGTCGTCCGAAGACACATTGGTTTTCGCACTCTAACTTTAGTTTAAGTGAATGGATCTTTATGAAATTTTACCACAAGGTTCAATACCACAAAAGGAAGGTTGGGATTGATTTTGGGGGTTATGGTAATAACAGTAAAGGAATTAGGGGCCAAAAATAAGCATTTTTGTAACTTCCAGACATAACTTGTGTGTTAGTGTATGGATCTCTCTGACATTGTACCACAAGGTTCCATATCACTAAAGAAATGCTGGGATTGATTTTGGGGGTAATTGCCTCCAAATTTTAGGAATTAGGGGCCAAAAAAGGGGAAAAAAACAAGCATTTTTCTAGTTTCATGACAATAACTTGTGTGTAAGTGTATGGATCTTTCTGAAATTGTACTACAAGGTTCCATATCACAAAGGGAAAGCTGGGTTTGAGTTTGGGGGTAATTGCCCTAAACGTTTAGGAATTTGGGGCCAAAAAGGGGCCAAAAAACACATTTTTTTCTAGTTTCCAGACAATAACTTGTGTTCAAGTGTATGGATCTCTCTGAAATTGTACTGCAAGGTACCATACCACAAAGGGAAGGCTGGGATTGAGTTTGGGGGTGATGAATCATAATGGGGGTTCAAAAAATTTTGGGGGGGGATTTATTTTTTTTTCCTTTTTTTTCTTTTTTTCCTTTTTTGTTTCTTTTAAAATTTTCCATTTTAAGTTGGTTATTTCTGATTTATATTTAAAATCAAATAATAATGATATAGTAGGAGATACACACCAAACAGGATGTGTAAATTATTATATAATAAGTATTGTGCAATAGCAAGAAATTTTCAATTGCACAGTATTGCACAATAGCAAGAAATCTTCAATTGCACAGTATTGCGTAATAGCAAGAAATCTTCAATTGCACAGTATTGCGCAATAGCAAGAAATATCCAATAGCACAATATTGCGCAATAGCAAGAAATTGTCAATTGTACAGTATTGCGCAATAGCAAGAAATATTTAATAGCACAGGATTGTGCAAAAGAAGATACTTCCTATAAATTGCTTATTTCTTGACCAATTTCAATGGGGTTTTATTCTTGATTTCATGGGGTTCTTTAATATGCTGAATCTAACCGTGTATTTAGTTTTTGGATTTTGGGCCCCGTTTTTAAATTGGTCCACATTGAGGTCCAAAGGGTCCAAAATTAAACTTTGTTTGATTTCATCAAAAATTGAATTATTGGGGTTCTTTGATATGCCGAATCTAACTGTGTATTTAGATTCTTAAATTTTGGTTCCGTTTTCAAATTGGTCTACATTAAGGTCCAAAGGGTCCAAAATTAAACTTAGTTTGATTTTAACAAAAATTGAATTCTTAGGGTTCTTTGATATGCTGAATCTAAACATGTATTTAGATTTTTGATTATGGGCCCAGTTTTCAAGTTGGTCCAAATCGGGGTCCAAAATTAAACTTTGTTTGATTTCAACAAAAATTGAATATATCGGGTTCTTTGATATGCTGAATCTAACCATGTATTTAGATTTTTGATTTTTGGGCCCCGTTATCAACTTTGTCCACATTGAGGTCAAAAGGGTCCAAAATTAAACTTTGTTTGATTTCATCAAAAATTGAATTATTGGGGTTCTTTGATATGCCGAATCTAACCGTGTATTTAGATTCTTAATTTTTGGTTCCGTTTTCAAATTGGTCTACATTAAGGTCCAAAGGGTCCAAAATTAAACTTAGTTTGATTTTAACAAAAATTGAATTCTTAGGGTTCTTTGATATGCTGAATCTAAACATGTATTTAGATTTTTGATTATGGGCCCAGTTTTCAAGTTGGTCCAAATCGGGGTCCAAAATTAAACTTTGTTTGATTTCAACAAAAATTGAATATATCGGGTTCTTTGATATGCTGAATCTAACCATGTATTTAGATTTTTGATTTTTGGGCCCCGTTATCAACTTTATCCACATTGAGGTCAAAAGGGTCCAAAATTAAACTTTGTTTGATTTCATCAAAAATTGAATTCTTGGGGTTCTTTGATATGCTGAATCTAACCATGTATTTAGATTTTGGATATTGGACCATAATAGGTGAATGTCCAATTTAAAATTTTTAAGTTCTTAGACCACATTCAATCTGTGTTAGAAACCTATGCTGTGTCAAATATTTAATCACAATCCAAATCCAAAGCTGTATCAAGCTTGAATGTTGTGTCCATACTTCCCCTAACTGTTCAGGGTTCGACCTCTGCGGTCATATCAAGCTGCGCCCTGCGGAGCATTTTATTTTAAATTAATTCAATTTTTGATGGAATGTTTTGGACCACTAAAGACAGGTTAAATTTAGTTTTTGTTGTTTTCACTTTTATCATTCCAGAGTTAAGGTACTTGATTGTTGGAAAAATTCAAACATTTTTTTGTTTCCAGAAGATAAATAGAAACCGTTATTTGAAATTAATTGATAATTTAATGGAATCTTTGGAACTACTAAAGACTGGTTCAAGAGTTCAAGAGTTCAATTTTCAATATTATTGATTGTACTTTGTTGTTGGAAAAATTAAAAATCTTCTGGTTTCCAGAAAATAATTGGAGAACCCCTTATTGAAATTGATTAAAACTTTAATGGAATGTTTTTGACCACTAAACAAAACATGAGCTCTCAGTTGCTGCAGACAGGGGGATCTGTGATCACTCTAGCATCTCTGTATTTTTTTTCGAATCCGACCTCAATGATGTAGGGAAGGTTATTCAAAAAGGTCCTTATTTTAATTCCATTGGACAAAAACTTAGTTTCTTGAGGCAGATCTTAATTCTGTTTGATCAAAAATAAAATAGTGAGTGCTTCAAGCTCTTTAGAAAAAAGAGAGAGAAAATACCAAGGGGCAGGCAAAAATCATAATAATAAAAACAGAAGAAACCATGGCTGCAAAGAAAAACTATGAAATTACAAAACAATCATTACAAAAATCTAAACAGAAAACTACAAAATTGAGCAACACAAACCCTACCAAAAACTGGTTGAACTCAGTGCTCTAGAAGGGGAAGCAGTTTGTGCCACTAGTGCATGGCTTCCGTGTTAGAGTGTGTTGTTTTTTCAACAGTGATTTAAGAATTGTTTTATTTTTCAGTGGTGAGTTAGATCAGAATGATGATTTCATCTTTGAAGACTTTGCAAGATTACGACTGAAAGGACATGAAGGAGATGACACAGAAGCATAGTAAATCTCATAGAATTGATGTACCACTATTAAATCCATGCTTGTTGATCAACCTAAATATAAAATGTATCTCTACAGGGATGAAGTATAAAACTTGGCTATTTTTAGATTGCCTGTTAATTATATTTTATTAATTATAAATTATTAACATAGATTTATGTTTAAGATACAATGTTTCTCCACCTCAGATAAGTTAGACCTAAGTAAGGATGTTGGAAATCTAAAAACCCATGAGAAATGTTACCGATGATTGATAAAGAAAATGCTTCCACTGTGATTGCAGTTTAAGTTGTAATAATTGGTACCGGGAAAATATGGTGGTGCCATAATTAAAAATCTATCACAGCACATGAAATTAGTCCTGAAGTGAATGTTGGGGTCATTTTTTAAAACTTTCTCTCTCTGTGGTTATTTTAGCTTTTTAAATTGTTTTCGCAAATATGTACACAATATCGGTAGAAAATTTAATGCATAACTTAGTAAAAAGATAATTGATGTAATAATCAAGACAAAGTTTATCATTAGTAAAGCTGATATTTGATAAATATTGATAATTTCGATATAAAAAGCTCATATTGAAAAAATCAGTCGATATCATCATTGAAAATAATTATCATTACACAAAATTTGTTTATAGTTTTAAAGGTCTGAAAAAAGCATATTAATCTTATGAATTCCATGAATAGAAAATCCTAGTCTAAAATCCATTGATGCTTTTCACAAAAGTGCTTAGATTGGGAAAAAACTCATCAAGGGCACATGGCTTATAATTTTGTGTACCATTGATTTGAACTTTGGACAAGTTAATATGATTTGTTTTAAGATAACTTTGGGGAACAGAGCAATGTCTCATCTTTAGTCAATAACATAAATATTTTAAGGATTAAACACCTGGTACGCACCCCAAAAATTTGAAACTTTTTCATGAAAAACCCATAATGATACATAAATATGTTATTATATTTCCATCTTGCTTTCATCAATGCTAAATTTAGCCTAGCCTTGTCCATAAGTGGCATCTGACTTGATGTGTTTGCATATTATCCAAACAATAACTAATTAACACTTTTCAACTCAAAATACATACCTGAAATTTCTGGAATTCCATGTATGGACTTTTGATTAATGGTAAATCAAAAATGGTTCCAGACTTGAGCTGTACTTACTAAAACTCCTGGATCCAGGTCTTACAAATATCCCTTAAAACTTAAGTTGTACTTAATAAAAATTCTGGATCCAGTTCAGATAATATTTCTTAAAGCTTCTAGCGGTACAAAATGTACTTGATTGAAATCCTGGATCCAGGGGAGACAATATTCAATCAAACTTTAGCTGTACTGAATAAAAATTCTGGATCAAGTTCTGACAATATCCATTTAAACTTTAGCTGTACTTACCCGAGGTACTGAAAGCCAATTAATTTTCACGAGTGATTTATTTTCGTGACCTTTACAAGTAGAACAATGACGTGAATATAAATCATTGCAAATATGTAAATCTTGGATCTAACCTGAAATAAATACTCCCAAGAAAAATATAGAAAATTTTAAAATTAATCACAGCAAAGTCAGCTAGTATGGGCTTAACAAGAAATAGTAAAGTATCCATGAAAATAAGTTGGTTTATAGCATTCGAAATCCTGGATCCATTAAGATCATCTTCAGTATACAGTGAAAATTAGGGTAGTTTTCAGATGGGGCAAGTAAGGCTCTTACTCCTTAATATTACAGGGGAATATATATTTTAGATTTCAGTCTTTGGAATGATAATGCATAAACATGCATAATTTTTTGCATTGCTTTGCTCAGCATTCATGTTATGGTAGTCAGCTCTTATCACAAACTACTTGATTAGTGACTTTTTAGATGTTGAAATATGCTTATTTTAAAAATGGTTTATCGATTTGTATAATAGCAGATTTGTATCAATGTAAATGTAGACTATGCTTCATAGTAATGTGAATTGTAACATAAACCACATGTTATATTAATGTTGTATTGTATTGGAAAACATTTATACATGAGTGACTGAGAAATTTCTTGGAATGAAAATGAGATATATTTGTCATTTTAAAAATGGAGATCATATTAGTGGCAATCATGTGTGTTTTTATTGTTACTTTACATCATTCAAATATTCATTCTTGTTCCTTGGAATAAGTTAAAATAAGAAGTCTCTATTTGTCATAAAATTTTGATGCTTTTATTCCAGATATCTAGTTATTAAGTTTAAATAACTTAAGATAATTTTTTTTTTTTTTATAGACATTTCTTATTTTTTTATATCAAAAGGTAAGCAAATTTACTAGGATGAATAAGTTTCCACACACTATGTTGACAAAGATTTATTAGTTGTGCAATACATTGTTTATCTCATAATCTTGATAACACATTGTTAATAGCTCCTCCAGTCGGTCTTGTGTTAGTGTGTTAATGAACTAGAAGTCCCAGTATTTATTTTACCACAGAAATACCTCTGTATTGTTAAGGTATGTAATCATCTACATGTAAAGTATAAAATAGGCTTTTCTCTGATTGTGATAGGCTCAGACAACAGAATGCATGCATTTTTAAGCTTTAGTGTTGAGAAAGCATCTTTTGATGAGCCTAGATTTAATTTGCTTCTTACCTCTAACAAGTGAATATACCTCTTTAGTTATACCACCTATTATGGAACTCTCTGTCTATGTAAAGGTTTGGTTAATTGAGATAGGGTCTAATTGACTTAATTATTGCTATGATGTTTGATAGTTATTCTTCTGTTGATAACTTAGGTAGTTGTAGGAATAATGCATTGCTTTACATATTGTGTGAAAAAATGAAGAATATTTGATGATGTTAATATGTATCTGTTATATATGGCAGTTTGTATTATCTCAGCTGTCTATACGTAGATGTGTGTATTATCTGAGCTGTCTATACGTAGATGTGTATGTCATTAATTTTCTGTAAGCAAAGATTATTGGCAGCTGAACATGAAATGTATTTATTATTAAGATGGAAACACAACATGTATCCAAAAGTTAATCACATAATAGCAATTTGAAGATGTTAGGCATGTAGTACTAATTGTTGAAATATAGCAAATGTGATTTCTATTTCAATAGCTATGTAGTTTTCTATTATGTTTTAGGAAATAAGTACTGTATTGATTGCTTGCCAAAAAATAGTCTTTTCAAAATAATGACATTATTGTCTTTTAAAAATCCAATATTTTTAGCCCTCGGCAGGAACCAGCTGTTCAGATGCTAAGCCTTTGACAAAAGTTTAAGAAGTTTTATATGTGAGGAGTGTATATGCCTCTCTGTAAACTTTTTTTTTTTTAATTGCTAGATTCAAATATACAGACTAGTGTAGAAAGAATTTAAGACATGATGAAACCACTTTAAGAAGTTAATTAAAGTTATTTTTTTCTATCCGTCGAATTCCAGCTTTTGAAAGTAAAAAATGTCAATGAATTTTTTGAGTGACAGATGATAATCAACTGTAAAGTTATTATATACTTTTACACTATATTTTGCAGGTGATCTGTATTTTTCTATGTGAAGATTTTGTTATAATTTCAAAATAAGTGAATATTGCATGATAAAATTAATTATATCAGAAATGCTTTCTTATTGATCTTGAAACGTTATGTAAATTTTTAGTGTATCAGGACAAAAAGAATCTATGAGTCATCTCCCTTTTTGAGGAGTAAATATAGCTTTATTTTGCATATTATGCATAATTTCAGTAAATTTTAATTTTAATACATTTTATTATATTTGGATATATATAAAATCATGCAATTTCACCTGACAGTAAGTATTAAGATAAAATGTATTGAATAATTATTATAGGCCAGGATGGTATGTTTGAACATAAACTGAAAAGGATATAAAGTACACACTGCATTTCAAGCTTAAATTAGAAATTATTATACACATATATATTGTATAGAAAATATTGAGTTTAAGCATTTAATTTATGTGGTCATTGATGGTATTCCTATAGCAATTGATATCCTGTTCAGTCCTGACCATGACAAATTGTTTGAAGATAAAGTATCCTTCATTTTACACCTTTTTCATCCAAGTTAACCTAAGATTAGGTGAGCTGTCAATTTAAAAAAAAATGAGGAAAAATGATTTGTGTTTACTATGGTCACTTGGAAAACTATTTTCAAAGGTTCATATGCCAGATAGATCTGATACATGTAAAATCGTATAATATTGTTAGCTGTATTTATACTAATGTACATATAATATAGATGTGATGTATACCTTAATATAGTTGTTTATTTATATGGTGCTTTGTTGACAAACAAAACTCTAGCTTGTTGTCTGTATACATGTTCATTTCATGTAATAATTATGTCAAATAAATCTGTCTTAATAGAGTCAAAATCTTTCATGTTTATTACCTGTGTTGCCAACATCAAAAGCAGGTGTAGTAACCGCTCCACTCCATCCATCTGTCCCAGAGACCTCAGTATTTGTCTTGATTTTGTTTTTTATTAAGTGTAGACTGTCAAATCTTTTTATGCCTAATACCATCGGCTAGACCTTTCTAAATCTTAGAGTTTTATCTTAACCATTTTGTGCTTTATAACTTCTAAGTTTCTTTTGTTTCGGAGAACCAATGTCAATATTTGAGGCCTCATGTTAACACTGATCTTCATATTATTCACAATGGTTTGTGCTTTTGTATGACGACTCAAGTGTGCATTATATTAAACTTCAGATACTGTGCAAGTCATATTTTATTACTCTTAATTTCAAATTACTAGGCTGTAGTGCTGATTAAAAAGTATCTATCAAATACAAGATTTTCACACAAATGCACCAACACCAAATTTGTTTACATTATATGCAACTGTTGTTTTTAGTCCCCTACCGACGAAGTCGAAGGGGACTTTAGGTTTGCACTCCGTCCATCTGTCCATCCGTCAAATCAGCTTTCCACACTTTTTTTCTTCGTTCTTGAAGATATTGATTTGATATTTGGTATATAGTTTTATCATGACAAGTTATAGATCAAGTTCGAATTTTGTTCCGGTCTGATGATTTAGTCCAGAGTTATGGACCATAACTCTGGACCATATCTAATGTTAGAGTACCATGTTAAACCATATTTCTGTACAAAGGGAGATAACTCATTTTTTTAAAGGCATTCTTTGTTAAATTATTTGAAGAATTTTTGGCAGGTTTGTTTGTTATTTAGTATAAACTGATTTTCTGAATGCTATAGATATAAAAAAAAATTATGATAATTATCTATTTTTATTACTGTATATATTTCAATACATTACATTGTGTAGATAAAAGTTGTTGACATTTTATAGATAAGTTACAAATCTCTATTAGTTTGTAACAAATGAAAGAAAAAATATTTGGAACTATTAATTATATTTGATTATAATTTGAAAATAAGATATACACTGTATTACATCATATCTAATTTTAGAGAATTATTAATCATATTTAATGTTTTTTTCACTCATATAATCAGTTTGCCACAATGTTTTTAGTCATGCTTGAAGATTTTGACATGATATTTACTTTTTGTTTACACCATGACAAGTTATAGAACAAATTAGAATTTTACAAAATGAATTTTGACCCGGTAGGGGACTATGTATTGCCATGCAATACTCTCAGAATGCTTGTTGTTGGTGATTTGACTAATTTAACATTTGTCAAGTGTTCTAGAATCATTTGTTCACATTTTTAAATTTCTTTTTGGGAAATAAAAGTTGATTTGTTCTTGGAATTACAACAAACTACCAAATACAACTAGAAATTAACAGGAATTTCACCAAGTTCTGAACAAGCATTTTCCCTCAATCCAATTCCTGTGGTGAAAATAAGGGTGGGAGAATGATGATTTATATATATATATATAGATAGATTATCCAAGCATTGTATTGTATTCAGATTGGCTTTAAACAACAATCCGTCACCCAACTGAGTCATGGTCTTATTCACTCGACTAATCTTGAACCATTTGCATAGTTTAGTTACATTTTATAAGTGTTGACACTTTAGTTTTTGCTTTGCATTATACTATCAAAATTACATAAAGGGGAGACAAATATTAAATGGCAACAGTTGATGGAAAGATTTCAATCCAAAACTAGTTGCCCCTTACTAGCTTGTATTGCTAACGTTGCTAGTATGCCTCGTGTCCAGAATGGCAATGCCAAAGGCATTCATATAACAATGGAAAATGAAAAGAAACACAAGACAAGATGTCTTCTGGATTTTTTATGTTGATAGGTTGTGGTATCATTGATGTATACTCTCTTTTATTCATAATAAATATAATTCATGGTACTGGCAGCCAGTTGGCCTCCAAAAGGAAATGTGGGGTATACATGAAACAGCAACCCAACCACACAAAACACCAATAACCTCATTTGTCAGAGAAAGTGATTTGAAGAGTTTTTAACCTCTCCTCTTTTTTATAAACTATTTATACAGGTCATGTTGGTTGGTCAGAGGATCAAAGCATACTCTTGAAACTAGACTCCCTGTGGAAAATTGTGATTTCTTTTGATCAGTGCTGCAAGAGGATTTTTTAAAAGGTTTATGACTGACCACAGAAGCAAAGTGATGGCAATAGCCTTTTCTTCTACTTTAAATAAGAAATGCGGGTCAATATCTCCAGGCATTTACTATGTAATGAGTGGTAGGGATGAGCCGCTGGAATAGGTTACTACTTATAGCTTGATAAGGTAGAGAAATTAAGATGATCAGAAATATATGACAAGGTTGCTGATGAAATCAAAAGTATCTGAAACACATCAGATGTTGATTTTTTTCACAGATGCGATAAAACCACTGTCATAAATGCACATGACAATTGTCAAATCTATTTATCACGCTATGAAAAAGAGTAATCATGATAGCTAAAGGTACCATTTTTTTTCTTCAAAAAATCAACCGTACCACAAAAGGATTGAAGAGTCCCCTATCAAAAATTGATACAAAACAATAAACCCAAGAGAGAATAAATACAACAAATATTATTGACCCTGAAGTGAAAAAAATTCTTGGAATCTAAAAAACTTCCTCAAAATTACCACAATAGGCTATCAATAAATACTGACTGTTTGAACAAAAACAATGTAACTCAATCTAAGGGTAGTTGATTCAATTTAATAATTCTGTAAAAATATAAATAAATTATAAATGAACTTTTATGACAAAACACGATAGAAATATAAATAAACATATAAATATAAATATGTCCTCATAGAAACAAAGTCTCATTTACATATCTGACAGTTTCACAGGGAAGATAATGAAATTATTATTAGGAAAATGATTAATACAGCACTAATTAATCTGCAATTGACAACCACTTTCACTTGTTATCCATCACATCAGATTTTCATCATTTTCTCCCAATATTTAGCTTTCTGTAAAATTTATTCTCCTCGTAAATTTTCATGTTTTTTTGTTACATCCTTTTGTATTTTCCAATAATGTATTTGCAGTTTGGACACAAATGGACGACATCTTTCCATCTACCCACACAGCATGGAATAAAGCAGCACAAGTAGAACCTAAAAAAGAAAGCAGGGTAGACATATATCTGCAGCAACACTCAAATGTCTTGCCTGCCTTTAAAATGTGATGAAAGCTATGTGTCAGACAGGTGAGCTCACCTGGACACAGGATCTGTTTTACAATCAGATTATTAAATCAGACAATATACTTCCATATACCAAATACTGCTGACTTGTCATATATAGATCTGTTTCTAAGTAACTATACCTGACAGGTCATCACAACTAGATATGATTATTTTTTGTATGCAGTAGTTATATTCTATTTAGAATGCAATATTTCCATTTATACACAAATCTTTTTACAGATTTTAATATGACTACATTAAAACAGGTTAGTTAAGTACATTACATATCAAGCATATATTCCAATTATCTTGTAGACATGACACTTGAAGATTTCATTGATAAAATTTACTTTAAAAAAATTATTTTCATTGTCAAAATAAGAAAATAACTCTGGAAAGGAAACAAGTTTTAAACTTACCAAGTTTTATCAAAATAAGTTATATAATACAGCTTGTTATTTTCATTGCAGAGAGAATTTTGTGAATTATAATTCTAAATAATAAAAATAATACTGTAAACCAAAAGTTCAAGCAATGTTTAAAGAAAAACTTGCTTGTGACATTTGCAAATCCAGTAATTACAACTGTAAATCTTAAAAGTTTAATTCAATCCTGAATTTTTAATGCTAGATTATAATTTCTGGCTAGCTAGGTATTTCCAGCTGACTTAGAAGGATGGTACTTAGATTCTAATAGGCATACAACAAACCATAGCTTAAAACCTACCCAAAGAGACAGAGAAGGAATGTTGCCAAAACTGTAATACAGCCAATCTCAAATTTGATTTGGGTCACAACGTTGCTTTTACAACTTGGACATTTTGTTGTAATTGGACAGTCCCGAAGAGCCATACCCATTGGAGGATTATCATTTCCTGCAATCACTACAGTTGTACTGGATTGTTGTGAACTCTGTTGACCAGCAGGCTGACCAGCAGGCTGACCTAACAAGAACAGATATACGTATTATTTGCATTATGAAACTGAAATAGAGATGTAGAATCAAATTTTGCCTCAGTAATGAATATTCTACTTGGTATATACATGTTTTCTATTTCAATAATTTATTTGACATTTTACCCCCCAAAATATTAAAGTTAAAACAAAAATTAAGAAACTGATTGTTAATTAAGACACACCAGAAGTATTATATAATAATCAGCTTCATATTTATTCTATGTTTAAGTCTAGTGTTTGTGCTGGAAAACCCAAGGTTCAGTTCACAGAGTTGGAACAAAATTTCTTGTCTTGGTGAATATCAAACAGGGAATATAATTGATTCCATCACACTTACAGCCTTCTTCCATAAATCAACAGCATATAAAAGAACTGTAAATATATGCATTACCTTACAGGTAGTTACCAATACCTCGGTGAGGTAGAATTACATTGTACTTTCAGTCTGAAGAGAAGAGAAAGTCATGACTTGCCTTATGGGTAGGATCCGACATTTTGTGAAATTAATCAGGACTTACCTTTGGAATCATTCAACTGCATATATAGGGAAAGGAATGTATTTGATGTCTGAATTAAGACTAACATTGTTTGAAAAAAAGTCTTGAAAAACAAACTACACGTGTTAAGAAAAATAAAACAAAAATAAGCGTGAAATGTATCTAAGCATAACCTTCTCTTGTAGCAGTCAAAATCATAAAACTGTACTAAAAAACACAATTGTCAGCCATAAGGAGTCATCTGGGCCCTCCCTCCTAGTACAAGGGAAAATCACTAAAAACAATGTTATTCATTATGAAGCATGTTATTGAGATCCATGTTGGGTGAAACTTGCCAAGCAGACATGTATACCTTAAAATAATTCTAAAGACCAAAGGTAGCGATCTAAACTGACCTTCTAACACAAACTTAGCATTGGTCAATAAACAATGAAAATAATGCCAAGTTAGATAAAATCAGTCAGAAATATACACCTTATAATGATTCTATAGACCAATTATAGTTTGCCTATTGCTAATAAACTTATTTAGTGCAAATGGACAGGATAATTGAAAGTGAAAATTACCTTGTGTCAAACAGCATAATGAAGACGGGAGTAGTGGCTTGTCTTGTGGATAGAGTCAAACATCTTTTCATGAAAGGAAGGTGAGACTATGTGGGTAACATCCAAATAGCCAGTGGAATTAAGAAAGCATGGTGCAGAGAAAGTGTTGCTTACCTTGAAGATAATATCCAACAGTCTGTAGAGGGGGAGCAGCCTATGGATGAGAGAAAGAGGGCAGCAGAGGTGTTGCTTACCTTGTGGGTAATATCCAACAGCCTGTAGAGGAGGAGCAGCCTATGGAGTAAAGCAAGAGGGGATCAGATGGTGTTACTTACCTTGTGGGTAATATCCAACAACCGGTGGAGGAACAGCCTGAGAAGGAGCAACCTATGGAGTAGAGAAAGAGTGGAGCAGAGAATATCTTGCTTACACCTTGGGTGTAATATCAAATGGAGAAGCAGCCATCGGAGTAGAGGTGGTGTTGCTTTAATACCTTGAAGGTAATATGCAACAGCCTGTTAAGGAGGAGCAGCCTATGGAGTAGAGAGAGTGGAGTGGAGCAGAGATGATGTTGCTTACCTTGAGGGTAGTATCCAACAGCCTGTGGAGGAGGAGCAGGGGCTGTTGCTTGTACTGACATGATCTGTAATAAACAAACAAAATTCAGACAGCAGTACATTTGCAATATGAAAATAACACTTTATAACTTTGTGCATTTGGTTGATTGATTGTTGGTTGCTTAACATCCAGTGGCATTGTGCATTTGAAGTACTCTTCAGAATCGGGGATTCTTCAATCAAAACATTTGAAAGCCGTGATGCTATTTATAAGGTTACATATTTATAAAGTTACATATTTATTGAAATATATATAAAAAATTGGGTATAGTGAGAGTTTTAATCTAAGCTCACTGATTTGAACAGAAATTTTAAAAGTCTTGGTCATGAATGGTAACCTACCCTCTTTAATATAGTATATATATAATTCAATTCTACTTTTCAGACAATGTTCATTTTTGGTAATTTGAGATTCATTTTTGTTCATCACTGCAGTAGATTACATGGTTAAATAACCAAACACCTGAATTATCATTTGATACAATACTGTCCATTCACACTAATTAAATCACCTATTGTTGTGAAGACATCTTCTTGGAAGAAACAAACTCTCAATCACAATAAAAAAAAAAATATCCTTCAGAAACAAAAAATGCATTTTACTTCTCTCTAGTGGGTGCTAGGCTTTTCCAGCTGCACAGGTTCGGCAATCAGAGTAATTTTTTAAGTGTAAACAAACATTTTTGTCCATATTTTATGATGAATCGTAATCGAACCCTTTTAAAGTATTTCTACACAAATTCCAAATGTGTTTTGCTCTATATTTCATTTAGACAGAGACATCTAGTACCATATATTATCACACTTGTGCGTGATTGGGTTAGGGAGCTACCATTTGATTTTTATGGTGGGCTAGGATGAAAAATTTTGTCCTGGCTTTTTATTTTTCCCTCTATTCGGTCCTGCCTTTTTATTTTTCACTCTATTCGGTCCTGCCTTTTTTTTTTTAGTTTATCCTGACTTTTTTTTTAACATAAATTGTCATCCTGCCATTTTTTTTGCAATAATCTCATCCTGCTTTTTTTTTTACTCAAAACTCCTCAGACCTGTCCTGCCTATTTTTTTCAAATTTCATCCAAGCCCCCCCCCCCCCCCCCCGCAAAAATCAAATGGTAGCTCCCTTATAACGTGTAGACTAGTCACTATTATTGTTGAACTGTTGAAGAGGTCTATCGTATTAAATCTAGGAAATTAAATTAAAGAACAAAATTCGATCTAAATGAAACAGATTAGTATTAGATAATCTAGCTTAAGTTATCTAAAATTGTTTCATACTTTTTGCTAGCTCACCCTCCTGTATACTTTACCGCCCTGTTCTGGTGTTAATGGACACTGTAAAAGTGTAATTGGTCTGTTTGATTCGATATATATACATATAAGAATATACTGGGCATGCGCATGATTGGAAGGACACTACTCATTGGCGTAGTCAGAGACATGTATACACATGTATATATGTCTCTGGCGTAGTTGAGGAAACCGAGGCACCTTCCTCAGTAAAAAAAATATAAAAAAAACCTTTTTAATCTTTTAAACAATTTCCACCTTGTGCATCAGAATCGCTACTTAACGCTAATATTCCAGACATACCAACTTGTATCGTCTTATTGCTATTGATTCATAACCTTTGCCAGTTCAAGACTGATGGAACATTGTCCTCTCCTTATTGGAGATCTCCTTTGCGGTAGTTTTCAGTAATATGACAAAATTGAAGCAAAAAGATTTATTTAATCCTACCCCATGCAAAATTAGTAAAATAGATGATGATCCAACCCTCGAGCCTTTTCCGATCGAATATCTTGACCCATTCGGAATTTTTTTAATTTTGTTTTTGAGGAAATAAGTTATAGTACATAAGGATCTGGTTCACGGCGGTTTACAGAATACAGAAAAATGTTCTGAAATTAATTTGAACTTAAAAGGAATAGAGATAGTTTTTAAAAAAGGTGCTAAAATATAAAAGAAAGGAAATTATGGGCGAAAAGAATTAACAATAAGTACCTGAAGACCACTATCCAAACCCTCATACATATAACCGGTAAGTAATAGTTGTGTGTTGACATTTCACCCTACGTGAAGTACTCCAAATAACCGTCCGAGTCTCATTGACTTTGATACCAATCAAAATGAAATATACATCATTCAACATGCACAGAAAATAATGTGCATGTTGGTCTCAAGTTTTATTCTTGCTATTTCAAATTTAGTGTTTCACTAGCAGGGAATTTTAAATATTTAAAGGAGTCATTAATTTAAGAGACATATATGGTATTAGTCTGATAGTTATGGTGGCCGGATGCGGCCATTTCGCCTTTTCGCGTTTTCTCCTTTTACTTTTACGCGAAATCGAGAAATCGGGAAATAGGGAAATAGAAATATAGAGAAATCGGGAAATCGGGAAATCGGGAAATCGAGAAATCGAGAAATCAAGAAAGCGAAAACGAGAAAACGCGAAGACAGGAAATAGATTTCTCGATTTCGCGTTTTCGCTTTCTCGATTTCTCGATTTCCCGATTTCTCGATTTCGCTTTCTCGATTTCCCGATTTCCCGATTTCTTGATTTTCACGATTTCTCGATTTAGCGTTTGTAAAGTGAAAGGAAAAAACGCGAAAAGGCGAAATGGCCGCATCCAGCCACCATAGATAGTTCATACAGATATCAGAGTACATTTATGTACTAGTATTCATCTGAACATTGAAAATGATGTATGTACCAGTTATCAACTTATAAATCTATAATATAACTTAGTGTAAGGCATACTTACATTATTATGATGAAATAGATTTGAACAACCACTATCATTTTTAATAGATTTTTCTTGTTCAAATTGCAGAACCTCTATAGCTTCAGGGGTACACAGCACCCCAGACCCCCTGCCTCGGTAGTAACAGAGGGCAAGCTACGCCATTCACTCTTTAATCGTACAGATATTTATGAATAAATCGTGGGGCACTGATTGGGCTACAATAGGATACCACTCAAGGTCACGATTAAATATGCCTTTCATGAATTCCTTAAATTTTTAGGAACTTTTTTCAATAAGTTGTCGGTTGAGCGCCCCTCCTAGTCCCTTCCCCTCATTTGCACAAATCTACGATAACTGTAGACCATTACATGCGAGGGAACAATTTTACTAAGTAAATAAGTAAAAAAAAGTTTATTTGGATTCGGCATATTTGACAAACATATTAAACATAAGCTCTAATGAGCTTTTCACCGAATATAATACTCCACTTTACAATATCTTATACTGACTTTGATCCAGTACTGGTTAGGGGATATTAATTCAGTATGTCCAAAGGATAACTGTAGATCATTACGTGAAGGAATAATTTTACTCTACTTTAGAATACTTAGTATCTTATAACTTTGAACCAGTACCAGTAAGGGGATTACATTAATCCAGTATGTCAAAGTGACAACTGTAGACCATTACATATGAGGGAATGATTTTACTCTACTTTAGAATATCTTATAACTTTGATCCCCGGTAAGGGGATTACATTAATCCAGTATGTCCAAAGGACAACTGTAGACCATTACATGTGAGGGAATAATTTAACTCCACTTTTATAGAATACCCAGAAGTCCATTACCAGGAGAAGTGTGCAACACCAATGTGACATATTTTTATTCTGAATATACAACGGTTTACTTTCAACGTGCCACTCGATTACAGAGCGAAGCAAGTTATATATATGGTTCCAAATAACTGATACATATTTGAAAAGCGGGGATTTATGATAATGACTATGGGGGCTCAACACATGGTCTAGTCCTCCAACACCTTTGCAATAAAAAGGATGATATTCGTGAAGACCTGTACTGACGATGGAGATTTGACTTGTGATTTTTTAAGTGAGTTTGCAAAAATCAAAATGCAGTATTTTCTGTTTATTGGATTCTTGTTGACGCGTGACTTTGGAAACCATGCCTTATACTTATCTTACTTGTTCAACCCAAACCCCCCGGACATGTATGATTCTCCTATCAATGGTATATACTTATCTTACTTGTCCAACCGAAACACCCGGACATGTATGATTCCCTATCAATGGTATATACTTATCTTACTTGTCCAACCCAAACCCCCGGACAATGTATGATTCTATCAATGGTATGTACTTATCTTACTTGTCCAACCCAAACCCCCGGACATGTATGATTCTCCTATCAATGGTATGAACTTATCTTACTTGTCCAACCCAAACCCCTGGACATGTATGATTCCCCTATCAATGGTATATACTTATCTTACTTGTCCAACCCAAACCCCCGGACATGTATGATTCCCCTATCAATGGTATAAACTTATCTTACTTGTCCAACACAAACCCCCGGACATGTATGATTCCCCTATCAATGGTATATACTTGTCTTACTTGTCCAACCCAAACCCCCGGACATGTATGATTCCCCTATCAATGGTATAAACTTATCTTACTTGTCCAACCCAAACCCCCGGACATGTATGATTCCCCTATCAATGGTATAAACTTATCTTACTTGTCCAACACAAACCCCCGGACATGTATGATTCCCCTATCAATAGTATATACTTATCTTACTTGTCCAACCCAAACCCCTGGACATGTATGATTCTCCTATCAATGGTATATACAAAACTCTTAATATTAACCTGCTCCACACCCCATTACCTGCAATCGGTACGGCAGGTGTAATACAAGCAACGCAAGTCAAAATCTGCGCATTTGCAAAATTTATTGTACTGCAATGGCAATCGGAAATGCACACAAAAATATGATTTACACAATAGCCAAAACAATTGTTTTAATAGAAATCGGGAACACAGATCGCCGGTATGAAATAGGATGTGTGGCCTTCAATTACGGAAAGTGCGAATCGAAAAATGGTTATTGGTGTACGGAAACAATTGACAAATTTCTGTTCTTAACGAAGCAATATAGGAGAAATAAACCGTTTCGTTGGTTTGCACAGAAAGGAAGATAGAATTACGGCCCGATTTTTTGCTTTTCGTTTCATCTAAGGTTTTATACGATACATAACTCTATTGTTGATAGAAAGTTTAAACTTGAATCACAAGGTACATTATATATGCAATTATAACATGACCAACGATGTCGTAATTTTCACGCGACCTTTTGAAATAATCATGAGGTGGTCAAAAAGCAAAAATGCCTTTGTCCTCAAACTTCTCTATAAACAGTTTAGGTGGCATCGTGGAAATTGGCGTGTAATCAATACGTCAGTCGACTACTTTTATGAGTAAATTGCCCTTCTATTACGTTTTTACTAATTTTTGCCTTTTGGCAATAATCATGAAAATCCTACAATAGAACAAAAGATCAGCTGGATAGGATCTACAAATAAGACATTATAACCGAGAATCTGAGTCGACTCCTTATGGAAGTAACTGTTTCCTTTGTATTACTATTTTTGGCTGAAATAACGAAAACTATATATAATGGATCAAGAAGAACTAAATAGCAAAAATCATCAGCTATGTAAAATCTACAAGTTATTTAATATACTGACTGACTTTAAAAACGAAACACTCATTTTGTTGATTTTTTTAACCAAATCATGGTTGATCCTCATACAACTACTATTCAACAGACTATCGGAATTCCAATCGGAACTAATTGTGCCCCTCTTCTTGCCGACTTGTTTCTTTATTATTATGAGGCTGACTTCATACAGGAACTTCTTAGGAAGAAAGATAAGAAATTAGCAATATCCTTTAACTCTACGTTCCGCTATATAGATGATGTTCTCTCGGTAAATAATACAAAATTTGGTGACTATGTTGAACGAATCTATCCCATCGAACTAGAGATAAAGGATACTACAGATACAGTTAAGTCTGCCTCATATCTTGACTTACATCTAGAAATTGACAGTGAGGGTCGGTTGAAAACAAAACTTTACGACAAAAGAGATGATTTCAGCTTCCCAATTGTGAACTTTCCATTTCTATGTAGCAACATTCCAGCAGCGCCTGCATACGGAGTATATATCTCCCAATTGATACGATATTCCCGGGCTTGTGTTTCCTATCATGATTTCCTTGATAAAGGATTGCTGCTCACAAGGAAGCTATTAAACCAAGAGTTCCAAATGGTGAAGTTGAAATCATCCCTTCGTAAATTTTACGGACGCCATCACGAGTTGGTTGACCGTTATGGAATAACCGTTTCACAGATGATATCGGATATGTTCCTTATGTCGTAACTACAATACCCTTCCCTTTTCATGTGAATGTGACTTACCGAATTAGACTATTTACCGGATTTGTAATAACATAAGCCACACGACGGGTGCCACATGTGGAGCAGGATCTACTTACCCTTCCGGAGCACCTGAGATCACCCCCAGTTTTTGGTGGGGTTCGTATTGCTTAGTCTTTAGTTTTCTATGTTGTGTCATCTGTACTATTGTTTGTCGGTTGGTTTTTTTTTTGCCATGGCGTTGTCAGTTTGTTTTCGATCTATGAGTTTGACTGTCCCTCTGGTATCTTTCGTCCCTCTTCTATTCATGCTTACCATACTTCTTCCTCTTAAGAAAAAATCAACATCTGACTTTCCTGTGGTTATTGAACATACCGGATTATTGAAGTCGCACGAATTTCTTAATGCGAAATTTGGAACCCATAAAAGATTTTTTCAGTTTTTTCTTCTTCGTGAAACAGTTCTTTCAATCCATGGCCACACTTAAATCAGTTAAAACATGTTGCCTCTCTATATTGCCAAGACTGAGGAATAAAAAACTGAATCAGCCCATAAGAATATTGCAAACAGGAAAACGTGAACGTGCTGCTACCAGACAATTTGACGTCATAAACTCGTCTTACTGTCCTTCCGACAACGATACAGGCAGACGGGATTTGTTGATGATCATCAATGACCCAATCAACATGTAGTGACAATGCAACGTCAATAGAATTTGATTACGCAACGTCATTTGCGAGCCATGTTGACGGCCGCAACGTCAACTGCTAATCCAATTGCCGACTGCCATTGCACGCAGATTCATGCCATAAATGTTTACCATAAACTGAAATGCCAAAGAATCGACTGCAGAAAAACATTCAAAGCCCTAATGTTTCACCAGCATAATTGCTAAAACACACTGTGATGAGTGGAACAAAGGCAAAATCAGAAGGTGCAAAACAGAACCCAAAACACGCCGAACAGAATTGGTTGACCTTTCTGACAATCATTTTGGCGTTGGTTACAGACAGTCATTGCTTTCGTCGATGACACATCCATTGGTAAGGGTAAACCAGGGTTTCAGTGTATACCACATGATTTAAACACTAAAAATGACGTAATCAATTCATCTTTCGAACTGCAAATTTTTTTAAACAATGAAAAAATGAATGAAATTTCTGTTCATAAGTTTGTTCAACAAAAATTGCATATTTGAAAATGGGAATTAAAAAGAATAATCTAGTGTTGCGTTTCTAAAGTCGGTCAGTACTAGTATATGACATCATCTGACTTCTTATAAATATTCGTATCTTTAAATGACGATTTTTAACAAATCTGTATTACCATTTCTGGTGAAAAAATATATAAGATATTTAGATAGTAAACAGCATTATGGCTGCAATAATAATCTGCTAATAAAGTCTTATGACCGACAGTCTACTCCAAATAGATGACGCGAACGTTATTGCGTCAATACCGCGAAATCATCCCATCCCAATTATATAAAGCAGCTCTTTGTGAAAAATCATAATCGTTGCATTATAGCATCTTCATATCTATAAATATATACGCTTATATTTTCTCACAATTCGTATCTTACTAAATTTTGCTGGCCAATCATTACACATCGTGAAGTGGTGATTATTGCATCAGTTTATTTTTTTTAAGTAAGACTCGATTCGCCCACTTCTTCATTTAACAAAAATGAGGACTTCTTTCCTATTCTCAGAATTAAAAGGGAAACATTGCATGGTTATTACATTCTATTTCCCGATCATCTTAACTTTACAGTTAGAAGTATCAGTATCTATAGTTTTCTTTAATACTAACAACGTTGCCGACAAAAAAGAAAAAGAAATCGGCAATAAACGTCAAATTTTGGAATTACTGATTAAGACACAATATCATACGTTACGTCAATAGGAATATATGCCATTCAATGATGATTTTTACGTCTGGCTTTAACCTTGAAGACTTTGATAGACATAAAATTGAAACGGCAAAAATTATCAGCTAAATAAAATTTTAAAATAAGTCAACATGGCCGAAATTGTCAGGAGCTTTTGGCCTTCAAAGAAGATTCTTACCCTTTTTCATATTTGGCTACGATAACGAAGAAGAAAGGGACCGGATCGTAAACCTTGGCTAGCGAAGATGAATGAAAGTATACTAGAGAGAAACTAGAGAGAAAGTGTAAACAATAAAGACCATTTGCAAACAATACCAGATCTACAAATAAGTAAAGTTGACCGAAACAAGCAGCATTTTTTGGTAAATATAGGAATTATTGCCCTTATCCAACAGTTTTCAAGATATTTAGTAAATCTGTAAACTAGCAATAACTCTTATAATAATAGGTCTATTGACCATTCCACTCATGTTGACTTATTTGTAGCTCTTCTTTTGCTGTTTACAAAAGCTATTTGTTATAGTTTTTAAGATAAGGCAAAAATGCGATAATGGGTTGAAATCATGATTTAGGAGTCGTCTGACAATTTTGGTCAAATGGATGGTATATCGTCTTTGAATTTGACATTCTCTGTATTTTTGCCTCGCCAGATTTTCTTTATCCATATCGTTTGCCAAGATATATGATTACTATCATTTCATCCTTATTCTAAATGTTTAGTCGTTGTAGCCATGTTTTTTGTGCAGATGGTATAATCAACATATATTCCATAGTAAACTGGTCTCTAAGTTTGGTCCAGATATCTCCTTGCTTGTCAAATTCGATTATTGAACATGTAGGTTGTTACCGTTTAGACACCAGTCATTTTATTGGTTGGGAAAATTAACTAAATATTATTTAATTGGTTTGTGTATAAGAAAGCCAAGTATGCGAAATACGAGTAAATGATTTCATAGCAGAGCAAGTCCCTAAACACAGTTAACATTTAACAATTACAATGTTTGATTTTTTGTTTAAAAAAAACACTCTTAAATGAACTTTCAGTTTTAAATTTCTTCCTTGTAAACAAATTGAATGAATCAGAAAATGAGAACTTGTGACTTGATGCTAATGTTAATACGGAAACAACTCATTTAAGGGCTTATTGTCATATATAGAAATTTAAATGGGACTTCCCTCTCAATAGATCTATCACGTGAGTTTTGTTTATTTTCCTTGTTCGATCATTTCATAGCCACAGTGTTGCGATGGCTGGTCGAAAGGGAAACTTCCTAGTTTTTATTCTTTGGATGTTGGGTTCAGCAATTGCTACCCAGGAATCCAGGACCGACCTAATTCCAGCTGGAGACCCAAGAAGATGTTACTCAATCTTAAACGACAAAAACCTGATTAGATATGAAAGTCTACCAGGGAATGGATGGGATAATTTAATGAATAAAGATGCCGGAATTGTTGTAAATTTCAATTTCTCAAAATGTAAAACCACAGACGATGGTCGTTACATTGTGCCAGATACGATCTACACCATACCTATAAAATCAAGCAGAGTTGAGACATATGCAGAACTTTTTGATCATTGGACGAATTATACATCAACAACTTCACGTTCTATAAATGTTGGTGCCGGCCTCACTTTAACTCATTTTGGAATAAGTGGTAAATTTTCATCAGAATCGGAAAGTATAAAATCCCACCAAGTACATGACAAGGCCACAACAACACGTGTTCAAGTACGTTATGTGCGCTACACTGCTAAACTCCAGCCTGACACTCCGTTACACCCAACATTTAAATCTCGTCTGCTAAGCATTGCAGCACATATTCAGTTGAACAACACAAATATGGCCACATATGAGAGTGAACTGTTAGTGAGAGATTTTGGTACACATGTTGTTACAAGTGTAGATGCTGGAGCAGCCTTGGTTCAAGTCGACGAAATTAAATCAACATTTAGTCGAGACTACAGTTCGTCAAAGAGTAAAATCTCTGCGTCGGCTAGCGCCTCGTTTTTCAGTGTATTTAAAATAAGCTCTAGTTATGAACACCAAACAACAAAAGAAATGATCGATCAGTATCTAGGAAACAGATCCCACTCAATAGTGGAAACATATGGCGGTCCCATATTCAAACCAGTTAATTTTAGTTTAAATGACTGGGGAGACAAAATCGGTGACGATCTCGTCCCCCTTGATCGTGCTGGTGATCCGCTGTTCTTTCTGATAACACCATATTCTCTGCCAGAACTACCAAATTCTGTAGTTTACAAACTTATCCAGTCTGTCAAATCTGCCATTGAAATGTACTATAAATTCAATATATACCGAGGCTGTACAAACACTGATTCTCCAAATTTTAGCTTCCAAGCAAATGTTGATGACGGTACTTGTAAGGCTCCATCTACAAATTTCACATTTGGTGGTGTTTACCAAAAGTGCAACAGAAATGGAGGACTGTCTAGAAATCTTTGCAGTGGTTTAGACCAAAAAAATCCTTTGACAGGAGATTATTCATGTCCACCGAACTATGAAGCCGTCTTGATACAAGAATCTACCAGATCTTCATCTGAATCAGTTCACAAATGCCACAGATGTTGGCTAATCTCACACTGTTGTAAAGACCGTACTGTTTATGGAAGTGCAACATATTCTGCATACTGGTGCGTGGCTAGAGGAAGTGTTCCAGAACAATCAGGATTTTTATTCGGTGGTCTCTATACAACTACAGTGAGTAACCCAGTAACACGATCTAAGCAGTGTCCCCTATATTTCTATCCACTTAAAATTGGAAATGACATGAAAGTTTGTGTCAGTGACGATTATGAGCTGGGATATGAATTTTCTGTTCCGTTTGCTGGTTTTTATAGCTGTAGGTCTGGTAATCCTCTAATGATCGGATCGAAGTCGGACAGCAATTTATTAAAATCTACTCACACATTAGGTTCATACTTCCAACAGTCTGGATCGGGACAATGGCCAAAAGGATGTCCAAACGGTTATAGTCAGCATCTTGCCACAGTAGAAAATGGCTGCGAAATAGACTACTGCGTTAAAGCTGACGCTTTTTCACCCCATGGACTACCACCTGTTCGTCAGCCTCCTTTCATGGAAATACCTGCAGAGGGATTCACGGACACTTCGTCGTACTCCATTAGTGACGATGGACTTATTTGGAAAATAATGACACCCGAGGAAGCGGACACAAGTAAAACCATAGGTGCTGCCGATCCCGACTCGTCTGAAAATCCTGGACTTTCTAAAGGAGTTGTAGCTGGAATTTCCATCATAGCTACAATCGCCTGTATCGTAGCAGCATCGGCAATTATCGTGAAATATCGAAAGTATAAAAGTCTGTATCGTCCACTTCAGATGTCTGCTCCGTTATATAGGGAGAAGACTACGAACAGTCCCAGCCGGGTCCATTACGGTTCACAGAACGAACATCAAACTGAAATTCAAGTAGAAACATAGACCAGATTTTGTGTGGTTGTGCAAAATACAATTGCCCCCAAAATGTATGTTCTATGTACTATTTAGATGTCTTTTCTTTGTTATAGGACGAATGTATTTGTATTCCGATGAATATTTTGAAAATAAGGCAAGTAGGTCGGCTTATGTTTTTTAATTATTTTTAAAAGTTATTACAAAGTCTGACAAAGCTTAGTTACAAATAAAAAGTCCGCGATTTATCGAATTAATCAAAACTATGTCTTGGTTTGGAATTATCGCATCTACAAATCTTAAAACAAGAGCATAGATACAAGATTGGTTTACAAAATAAAACATTTTAGGCAAAGCAATGTTAGTTAAGCGTGGTGTTTAAGTTATACTGACTTTCTTGTGCATAAATACCGGCTTTATTATACAACAGCGAGATAAGATGATTCAACTTGAGGACTTTAGTGTACACTTGAAGCAACATGTGTTAAGCATAAGAAATAGACCAAACTGAATTATTTCCCCTCTTATAGCTGACATCTTTTCACTGGAGTTCTTTAACAATTCTATATCACACAGTAGTTATTGCCAATGAGACAACTCTCCACTAGAGACCAAATGACGTAGAAGTAAGCAACTGTAGGCCACCGTAGGACCTTCGACAATGATCAAAACCCACACCGCATAGCAAGCTATATAAAAGACCCGAAATGACAAATCTAAGACAATTCAAACGAGAAACTATGCTGGAAAGATTTATGTACAAAACAATAAACGAAAAACAAAAATGACAGTCAGCAGAAAACGACAACCACTGAATTACAGGCTCCTGACTTGGGACAGGCACATACATAATGTTTAGTTCGTTTTGGATATTTATATTTTATATGTAGGTGTATTTCGTATGATCACTGGTGGTATGTATCAGGAGTGTATGTTCACAGAAATGCTCACACGTCTTGAAATGTAAAAACATATTTGATAAATACATGCAACATACTTAACAAGAGTGGTCGGTGCCAAAACTTTTGAATTTTGATATTTGCCAATGGATAACAATACACGTCAATACTGATGTCGCAAGTTGTATGTCAAGAACTACTTGTATACTACCAAGAAAGAAATTCTTTACTTAGTAAAAGAGAATTGTATATTGTATATTTGTAAGAGCTATTTTGATGTTTTATTTTTATATTTGTTTTCATTTTGCACAATGTTGATGATGATGTCGAAATTTTTGTATTACCACTGTAAGCATGGTTTCGGTAGGGTATATTCACAGTAATCCTCTCACGCTACGAAAGATAAAATTACTTGTTGATTGCATATCCTAAACACATAATCGCAGAGCGTGGCTGACGTTGTCCATAATGCTCTTCAACTTCGTACTTTATTTGGCCTTTTTAACTTTTTTTATGTTATATTCTTGACAGCGTCACTGGTGAGTCTTTTGCAGACGAAACGCACGTATGGCGTACAAAATTTTAATCCTGGAATCTATGATGAGTTTTTTCATATAATGTTTTTATCTGGGTTTTTTTACAGGTATATCCTAAACTGGTCCGCCGTTCCATCTATAGCTTCGCAGTGTAGCGATAAATGAACACAACAGGGGTCTAGTTTAGGTATATCCTTGCCCTTTTTACAGGCATATCCTTGCACAGATTGCCCGTAATAGCCTTTACCAGTCCATTATATATAATTTATAATTGTATTGTAGCAAACAAAATTACATTTGTTTATAATTCTGAATAGAGGGAATCCCGGGGGTTTACTTAGATGGCACACAAAGGCATAATGTGATAAAAACAACATTTATGACTCACCATATATTCTCAATATCACTATGATGTTACACAAATGAAATACTATGTTTTGTACAAATGGAACTCAATTTATATTTGTTTATTGTTTTTAAGTTTGTATATTTTCTGTATTGTTTTTATGTTTGTATATTTTTTGTTTTGTTTTTATGTTTGTATAGTTTATGTATTTTTTTTATGTTTGTATATTTTTATCAGTGTTATAATTGAATTTTATGTAGGATGTCTCTGAAAAAATAAAATAAATCTTTACTCAGAACTCCACAATGACATAACAAATATCTACTCAATATCTACAAAGAAGGCTAAAAACGGAGAAGGAAACGTTTTTTTTTTTTTTTATTTTTTAATGCCAATAACAATCGATTCGCCGAATGTGAAACAAGGCAGATATGATGATACAATGTGATTTTAATGTGAACTGTGGGTCTCTCATGCCCACATTTTAATGGGAACTGTGTCACTCATGCCCACATTTTAATGGGAACTGTGTGTGTCTCATGTCAACATTTTAATGGGAACTGTGTGTCACTCATGCCCACATGTTTGCCACACGATCAACAATAAATAAGGATTTGTTTTATAAGAGAATACTCTAATCATCTACCTCCGAAAGTTTCAAAAACATTTCGCCTTATTGTTTCAGAGAAAACGATTTTTTTGATTGGCCAATCAAAATTAGACTGGCTTAGATGGTCTGACCGTTGATGCAAAATACATGTATGGTCTGACAATTTTTTAAGAGTCTAACCTGATAAAAGTTCCCATTTTAACAATTTTACTGATGTAACTTGTATTAAAAAATCCCAAAACCAATTTGTAACACACAGTTATCCTATAAAGTCCATTTAACACACAATCAAATGAATATACAATGCAATATATACACAGCTAGGGCTGTAGCTAGGTATTCAATGAACTGTAGGCACATATTGCGACAAGGGCCTGCATGGTGGCCGCTTGGGGCTCACAGCAGGTTCAGTGCGGTGGTTCATGGGCTTTGCTCCTCGACGGAATACGATAATATACATTAAAAAAGATCCTCCACATTATTTTTTTCACAAGCATTTCTGTCGAGCCTGCGACTTCTGTCGCAGAAAGCTCGACATAGGGATAGTGATCCGGCAGCGGCGTTAACTACTAGTTACTTCTTAAATTTTTTATATTTTAGAAGGTGGAAGACCTGGATGCTTCATACTTTGTATACAGATGCCTTATGTTATGAAGTTTCCGTCTTTCATATGTCCATTGTCCTTGACCTCATTTTCATGGTTCAGTGACTACTTGAAAAAAGTTAAGATTTTTTGTAATGTTAATTTCTCTCTTATTATGAGTAATAGGATAACTATATTTAGTATGTGTGTACCTTTCAAGGTCCTCGTGCCTGTCAGACAGTTTTCGTCTGACCGCGACCTCATTTCTTGGATCAGTGAACAAGGTTAAGTTTTCGTGGTCAAGTCCATATCTCAGATACTATAAGCAATAGGTCTATGATAGTGGGTGTATTGAATGAATGCAAGGTGTACATATCCAAGTGGCAGTTGTCATCTGACCGTGACCTCATTTTCATGGTTCAGTGGTTAAAGTTAAGTTTTTGTGTTTTGGTCATTTTTTCTAATACTATATGCAATAGGTCAATTATATTAGGTGTATGGAAATATTTTACGATGTACATGTCAGTCTGGCAGGTTTTATTTGACTTTAACCTCATTTTCACGGTTCATTGCTCAATGTTGAGTTTTTATATTTTGGTCTGTTTTTCTTAAACTATAAGCAATAGGTAAACTATATTTTGTACATGGAATGATTGTAGGTGTATATGTCTGTCTGGCAATCATCTGACCTTGACCTCATTTTCATGGTTCATTGGTCAATGTTAGGTTTTCATGGTTAAGTTTGTTTCTTAGATACTATAAGCAATATGTCAACTATAATTCATGCATAGATTGATTGTAAGGTGTACATTTCTTTCTGGCATGGTTCATCTGACCTTGACCTCATTTTCAGGGTTCATTGGTCAATGTTAAGTTTTCCTGGTTAAGTTCGTTTCTAAGAAACTATAAGCAATAGGTCAACTATATTTGTTGTATGGAATGATTGTAAGGTGTACGTGTATTTCCGGTTTGGTTTATCTGACCTTTACCTCGTATTCATGGATCATATTAAGTTTTTGTGATACTTGCAGTAAAGTTTTATTTTAGGACTATCAACATAAAACCAATGGTCAGTGAAGCAGGCGAGACATTTCAGCGTGTGCATTCTTGTTAAATTAAAAATTAATGACAAAGTTTAGCGTAGATGCACTTGAAGTCGTCAAAACTCTGTAATAATCAAATGTCAATTGTACATTATATCAAGGATTTGTATAGTAACTATACAAATCCTTGATTATATGGTCTTTCATCATTAGTGCTTGACTTGAGTGTTGGATAGAATTTTATGTACATTATATTCCACTTTATATAGAAACAAAAACTAGAACCTGTCTATTTAGCACTTGTGTAGTTGACTTTTGGTGTCGGTAGTAGTGGCTAACGTTTTGGTTCAAGCGTTATAGTATTAGAGGTTCTGGTGTTGACAGTACAGAGCGTTCTGTATATGTTAGTGGAAAGACAGCGTCGTTACTCGTTGATGGTGATCGTGTTGTTGGTATCATGAGTTGGTTTAGAAAGGCATCTCGGTTAGGTGTTGGTCTGGGTTTTTTCATCGAGTATTGGTTAACACAAAGCAATAGGAAGTCGTTGTTGTTGTTACAAACCAGCGTTGGGGTATGTGTGTCAATTTCGGTTGGAACATGGTATGCTTATTGGTGTTATTCTTTGAAGGCTAACTGAACGTTAAATCTATGTAAAGGAGTAACATAAATTTGAATAATTTTCAGGGACTCTGCATTCATGTCTCAGTTTTCCCCGCTCATGGTCAAGTATCAGCATCCAATTGATGATTTGTTATCAAAAGAATGTTTACTTTTATAAAATATCAGGCTCTCTTTCTTAAACATAATCCGATTTTGAAAAGAATCCGTTGACAATGAACAAGATTTTCGCAAGTTTTGATAAATTACACGTACTTTTGTGGTCTATGCAGGTTCATTGTGGTCTTTTCATTTTCCCGTTCTGGTTATAGGCATAAACGATTTTGGCATTTAGCATTTCTTTTTCTTTTTTTGATTTAAAAAATTCTTTTACCTTTTCCTTTATAAGATCCATATTTGAGGGAAGTCCATAAATAATTAAAAAATGTAAGTTAAGTTTAAATAAAATCTATCAGAGTTTTAAGTCTGTTCAGATCTTTACATTTCCCCATTATGTCCGACTTTTGGCCTTAAAAATAATTTTCAAATTTGATAAAATCATTTTCCTTTTCTTTAACAAAATTTCAAATTTGAAGTAGGTCAACAAAAAACGTTATTTACGTTTAAGAAAATCTACCTGTATATTTCAAGGTCATTGAGTCTTTTCATTTTCCCGTTTTGGTCTCATCTACATCTACATGGGTAGTCCATAAAGAGTCGGTTGACTCATCACACGAATATGTTGAATTAAAGTTGTGCTGTCATCCAAAATGTGCTCTTTTAAAATCATATGTACAGGTGTAATATATATATAATATATATATATATATATATATATATAGGTTCCAGTGCAGATAAAAACATTTGTGTGTTGGTTTACGGATATCTGTGTGCTATGAGGTGGGTCTTGAATGCCTCATAGTCATCAATGTCCAATAGGGTAGGCGGTATAGTTCATTCCAGCAGAGACGTATAGTGATGGTTCTTACGAAGAAGCTATGTTTTCGTTGTTCAGAACTTGATCCTAATCTGACAAATCGTCTTTGATGGAACTGGCGCGTCAAACTTGCTGGTGTCATCAAGTATTCTGGAATTGGGATTGCAATTAGTTGGTGGTTTACTTTGTAAAAAGGAGTAGACGTGATGTTTTTCGTCTCTCCTGTAGTTGTGGTGGTTTTAGGTCCCCTTATAAAGATGTTACTATGCCTGGGTCTCTAGAATACTCATGTCAGATGAATCTGGCTGCTCTCCTTTGGACCATTTCCAGTTGGTGTATGTGTTTTTGGAGACGTGTGTCCCAGACACTGCTAGCGTATTCTAGTGGTGGTCTTACAAGGGTTATATATGCCCATATCCAACTAAGTCAGACATCACGTGACTTTTGTGACGTATACTAGCCGCCATTTTGTATTATATTGCCCCATATAAAATGCATAGGTGCTTCAATAAAGTTGAGTTTTCTCATGAACCTGACCCGTTTTCTAACTTTTGCAAATCAATCCTTGATATTCAAACATATTTCTATCAAACAATGTTGGTCCTAACAGTTTAATTTTTGATTAAATTCTGTCACTGGAGAATCGTAAAAACATGTACTTTTTCTCGTGATTTCTCCGTTGACTCAATGCTAAATGTACCGATACCCATGTCTACTTGTATAACAAATAAAGAAATTCCTTTAATAAAAATAAAACTTTGCAACTCGATTAAGTATATTCAAACATATATCTGGCGAAAAATACTATTTAAAACAGTTTAATTTCTGGGCAATTTCGGTCAAAAATCGATTTAAAAAAGTGAATATTTCGGGATTTTTCAAAATGGCGGATGATGTATATGGAAATGTTGCATCAAATCGAGGATTTGTATAGTAAGACTTTCCTTGATTTAATTTAATTTTCATGTAGAATCTCTGATGTTTCTGTTATTTTCTTTGGTGATATTTCGATATGATTGATTTCAAAATTTATTGATTAAAAAAATATTATTTTAAGTGTGACACGGGAACATTTTATTTTGACAGATATCCAGGATATACTGTTACCAGAAAATAGTTAACAATAAAATTTATAATAAAATTTTTTCTCTTCTTTTTTTAAAAGGTTTTTTTCCTGTTTTCTGTATATTTATCTTTCTTTAGAAATATATTTATACATTCCTTTTAGAACAAAAAAATATTTACGTCCCAAGAGAGAAAAAAATCCCAACAATTATTATAGATAAATATTCCATACCTTCAAAATCCCATCACTTGACGAACAGGTGAACTCTGACTTTGGATGTAATGTTACATAACAATATATTGTCAGGTAGACGTGCAAACCAAAAGCAACCAGGTGACATTAAACATCCTGTGTATACATGTATTACCAGAGTTTAAATTTTGTGATATACAAAAGTTTTCATAACTGTACAAATAAATATCTTCTCTTCCCCGTGTCAAACCAGAAGAAGTATGTATCATA